CCCTCAGTGTGCTCGTGGTTGGCGTCTGGGTGACCGGAGTAGATTATTGATTCTCCCGTTGACAGTTTGGAGAGTCCACTCCCATTCCATCTGCTTTCGCAAATCCCAAGCACTTCGATGTTATACCTTCTCATCTCCTTTGCAATCTGGGCTGCCTTACTGGGTTCAAACATCGTGCGGACATTCCATGTCCCCACGTTTACTTTCGCTTTCATCGAGAGAAGACACATCGGCCAATTGGCTTCCCGAAGGCTTTCACCAACTGGCGTCATTTCGCCTCTCCGATTCCAGCGGGGAATAAGTTTGTTTTCATTTTTTATATTTTGTTTGTGCTTTGAAGTTTCTTTAGCGGTTAGATTTGTTTTACGGGGTAGGGTTGCTAGCCCTATGCCCAACCTTCCCTCTTTACCCGGGCTTAGGACCGGCTAGTAACTAGTAAACTAGTTAACCAGGCGAGGTTACCCAGTATCAATACTACTGTAAAAAACCACAGCTATCTTAGGTAGTCAGAATGAGAAAGTTGGATATGTTGAGCATTGGACAAATGGAATTAAAGAAAGAAATAAATAAAAAAATCCCAATGAGGTAGAAGTAATAAAATGTTGACTTTTTGCGACCACGTGCGAGTCTCCTTTTCAGCGAATGAAAACCTCCATAGGTTATCGCATGTTTAAATAATGAATGACGACAAGTCAAATCACGCTGTTCACATCAGACAATAATATGGGAATCAGCGTCATCTTTGTCAGTTATTACTTCACGAGTTCAAGGAGATGTGAAAGTGCGTGCACATGTGAATGGGTGTGAAAATGGGGGGAAAACACTACGTATTTAGAATTCAGTTTTTTTTATGTATGTGCTTTAGTAATGATTAGTGTGTCTAACGTGTTATTTCAGATATACTGTCCAAGTTGGTTTGATAGTTAGGCCTTCTTTCCTGTTGAGTACATTAGACCTCACAGGATGATTCCCCATACAATATGCATCAAAATATAAACAACCTAATCTGTAAACACAATTATGTATGAAGTAAAATGGAATTCTATCTTTCAAATGAATTAAAGCACTCCTGCGAGTGTTGGTTGTCTTGTAGAAGGCTGTAATTCGATGTCTTCTTAAAATCCTTTGTAGCTATTTAACATGATCTGATTTATGCCCATTCACTATTTAAAAATGCAATAACCTTCACTGGTTTTATTCTGTGAAAAAGTGATTCGCACGTGGTCGCGAAATGTCAGAAATTTATTTTTCTATCTCACCGGGATCCTGCAAATATATTTCATTTAGCAATCAGATTGTATAAATTTTGATTTAGGTGGACTTATGAATCGTTATATAGAACTATTTTCTTCTTCGAAAGGAAATAAACGCATTAAGGAACCGTTTTCTGGAGCTATAGCGCCAGAAGGTCAAGTTTTTGGGTTGTATTTGAAGTGAACATTTAAACAACAACCGATAGTTGGTTATAATGCATAGTTACTACATATTATAAACTTGTTACAGTGTAGTATTTGACAGGAGTTCTTCTTTTGTAGACAGATAATTCTCATGTGGTCTGATTTGTATCTGGTCAACATTCCTGGAAATAATTTATGGTTGATTTCGCTTATTTTCAAGTCAACAAATTCTTATTGGTCAAGGTATAGGGAAATTGACAGACACTGTTATCTATCTGACGTCCTAGTTATATTGACGTCTAAAACTTAACAAATAACGAATTAGACTGAACTAAAAAATATACTCACATTGCACATTGTATACACTTTCTACACATACGATTTTCAAATCCGACTATTAACAGTATATGTACATTATTTTAATAAATACTATAACATACAAAAGTCTCAAAGTCAACTAGTCTAGGGACTAGGTGTTTGGTAATGAAGACGTAGAAGTGATGGAGTATGATGCAATTCGTCAAATACATGGTTTTCTGTATTTAGGTGTAAGCCATCTCTGCAATGTGAAACATACTTCCCCTGTCACATAGAAATGGACAAATGAGTTTCGAATTCGCAACCAGTTGGTTGACTCTTATATGAATGAACTACCTTGGAAGTGAAATATGCAGAAGTTTCTTAAATTTCCTTCCTAAGTTACCTCAGCACGAGTCTTGTTTTTTCTTTGTCTGCACATTTCTAAAGAAGACTTAATAGTTGAAAAAAAGTCCATTATTTGGCACAAAATGAAGTAGTGAATGGTATTCATAGTCGTCGGACTGGTATATAATTAATTTGAGAGCACTACTTTCATTAAAAACTAACTACTTTAATGAGATAATGAAATGAGTTGACTTCTAAATAAAAAAAACGTTTTAAATTTTATAAGAATGTAGCGAATCTGACAACTTTTAATTGTGAAATCATAAATTCTACGGTTTCAGGTCTTCAAGCGGTAATGCAGGGTGGAGAATCAGGTATCATACGTGCAACACTTCAGTATTAGAAAACAGTACCTATGTAAAATATAACAGGAACAAACAGGGTCTCTTAACTCAATTGTTAGAGGACCGGACCGATAATCTATAGGTTGCTGCTTTGAATCCAGCAATCACCGAAAATTTCATTTCGCTTTCATTCAGCGATCAGTATCAGTAACATCAATGTAAGGGACAAACTTGAGCACTGTAGTAGAATATAATTCCATACTAGATTGTTTATTTGATGCAGAACACCGTGATGCAGTATAAATTCTGCTCGAAACGTCATCAATTAAATTATACCATATCACTGTGTACTATATAAAATAAACAATCGAATGTGGAATCAGTGATATCAGGCTATCAAACCATGGGTATCGCAAGTAGTCTCACTAATAATTTACAGCTTACAAGGAAAATACTTGCCACAATGAATTTGTTTTCATGGCTGCATATTTATTAACATGTTTAAGAAAATAGAGAGTATTTCAAGCTGATATGTTGTTAACTCAAACTTAGGGTGAACTTTTCAATGAAAACATGTATGCACCCAAAAACGAGAAGAAAAAATAATAAGAAAGACCAAGATCAGAAAAAAATAGAGGACTAGAAAACAAAATATGATTACCTGATAAGAAGTCATCCAGCGTGAAAAGAACACCTATTCTTTTTTGCTGAGCCGCAATAAACATAGAGCCTTGACGTACCTATTTATAATCATGGGCAGTGGTATGAAAATGAGAAATCGCTGCCTTTATTTATGCTTGATGTCCTAGGTACATATCTTTTGAAAAATTTATCTACGCTTCATACGGAAACTACTTCGAAAACAAAAAAGTGTCTCAGCTGTCCTACATGACACCAAAAAACATACTTTTGTTCTGTCACAGCTATATAAACTTAGTAATACCTTAAACAACCGTCTCAAGCCTATACATCATGCAGTCCATATAATTTGAAATACGAAACCAAATAAGCTAGTAAACCATTCAGCCACGAGAAAATAACACCACCGAAATCATTCACAAGAGCTACAAATCTTCCCTACCATCTCAAAGTTAATTCACATACATTGATGTGGAGCTATCATGTACTGAAGGACTGACTCAAAACATTTTAGTACCATCTGGAGATTACTAATACAAACGACTCTTCTTAGGGATCTAACAAGTATTTCTATTAGAAATGACTTACTACAGTGTAGCCCTTGAATTTGCAGCCAGTTTAAATAATATCGTTCTGAACTATGCTAGTGAAATGTGCTACTTACTTGTCTTTTACATTCTTATCTATAAATAATGATGAAATTCATCATGGATTGTAATTAAGCAAAATGTTTGCAGATTATCCTCAAGGGTATTACTATGCGAACGCTTCTGATATTTTAAGAAGAAAAATATATTCTTGCGTAAGCGAGTTTTATAAACCTTCTGATTATTGACTCTGTTTATAGAGTAAAGCTAATATAAATGTAAACAATGTAAATGGCTGGAAGTAAATGTTTTAGGTGCACGTTAATGTTGCAAATAATAAAGCTATTGTGCATGCATCTTTTACCATTGTGAAAATGAGATTTAGTAGCGTGTCATCCAACAGATATATTACAGAAGATTCTTTTGCTGAGCAGTTTATCTGCCTTCAGATTCTGTTACTTAATACAGAATGCGCATTGGGATGTCATTTTAGGAGAAAAGATTTCAAATAATGATTCACTAGATGTATGTTTAGTTTGCTGGGTAAAGAAGTCGTTTCTTTGTGATTTTTGATAGAATGTGTAATTGGACAAACAGAGAAGAAACCATTTTTCCTTATAACATGTTGATATTTCAGATACACTAAAAAACACAGACACTTTTTGAAGGTTTCTGGGGATTTTCTGATTTCAAGTTGGTATTCATCATGGAGTGATATCAATTGAGGAAACACTAAATATACGACAGCACTCAAAAGCCATTTCATCCTAGCATGGGACTTCCAAACAGTGTGTATCATCACCCCATTGGGGGGTCGAACCCAGGATCTTCAGACTGCACAGCAGGTAACTTGCCATTGGGCTATTGTCTGGAAATCCAATGATCCAATGTTCTCACATCTAACTTGGCTTGCCCCACCGGTCACGACTCCTCATTCCAACTTCGGGAAATCTCTTATCAAAATTCGAATGAGGAGTAGTAACCGGTGGGGTAAAACAACATGGACACGGGGATAGGTACTCAAAGACAGCATTAGATGAAATACATATTCTTTGCATAAATAACTTTCAAACGCTTTTCTTTTACTTGTGGGTGCATCCCCCCAAGCCGAATTGTAACTAAGTGGCTCAGACGATTCACTCTTCCAGTTTTCGAATGAAAAAGGGCACTATTGTTGTGAATTCTAGATAAACAGCATAAAAATGAAATGAGGGTAGATAACCTAAATACCTATTCACTGACGGCATTATATCCTACTAAATTGTAATATTTAATCGGTGTGGTTTGTATTTATCAGATTACTGTGTCCTTCCTGTTTTAAAACCCTAGAATGTCAATAATATTTCAAACATAGTGGTCAAAATACACAGAAAAGTCTCAAAACGTACTCTTAGAAATATCTTTTGCATTCCTTCTTCCTCAGAAATAGCTCCAGCGGGAATCCTCAGGCAAACTTTGTGTTCGGTTATTTCCAGAATACCACCTTCTGGACCGAATTCTCCACATTTTTCAGCTAGAATTATTCTTGGTGATGTGGGAAGTGATGAAATAGCAGAGTGTGGATCAGCTGTATTACTCATTAGGTCTAGTGACTGAGCTTTCTGATCATCGTTTCGGCGACAATCTGAAGACGTAATTTCATCAAAAACTAAATGATGCAAAGACAGAGTTGGACTGATTGTTGGAGTCTGGCCATCAATCGGTTCTGAGTCGTTTATTGGGTGAGTATTACTCAAGACATTTTTTCTGAATAAAAAATACCAAAAAAAGTTTAGCACGTTTTTGGCTTATTGAAAATATTTTTTATAGTTAAAATTCAAAAGGTAAAATGTTTATTAAATAGAGTTGGCACCCTTTAAACAAAGATATCGAACTTAGAATTCTATCTTCTTTTTCTATGGATACTTCAATGATCAGTCAATATGCAGTAAATTACCTGACAGCAATAATAACATTGAGAACACAACCATTAAAAACTGTATATACTGTCGATTATTCTTCTTTTTATTATATCATTATTTGTTCCTAGGGTTCCTAATGGAACATAGGGCTTCAGTAGCACGTCTCCATTCCACTCTCTTCTCTGCAATCTTCAAAACCTGGCTCCACAACAGCCAACAACCTCTCATTTACTCCTCGCACGATCTCCTCCATGTCATCCTCACGTCGAACGCCCAACTCGTCGCTTCCCATGAGGGTTCCACTCGACAAACTTCCACGTGATTCCCCCTATTGGTCTTCTAAGTGTATGCCCCATCCGATCCATCTCCACTTCCTTCCTATGCATATTTGTTCAGTGATAGCTTCTTGGTTGGTTCGTTGAAAGCCAGCCAGCCAGCCACCCAGAGTTCCTTCTTGCTTATTCTTATCATTCTGACCATCTGATCTTCAGTAACGAGCCTGTGTAGGCAGTTGTTGATGAATACCTGTAGTTTGTTGGAAATGCTTTCGTAACCTGCCAAGTCTCTGAACCATCACGTGGAAGCACTGACTTGACTGACATTGGTGTTGAAAATCCAGATGTTGTTCCACATGCTGAGTGTAGAAGATCTCCACACTGATTTCAGGTTAATGAACACCTGTCTTGCTGTCTTTTCGATGCTGGCGGTCTTTGACGTCCTCGTCTGTAGCTGTGCCGCCTGTAGTTGATACAGTGCAGTATAGATAGGTGAATGAGGCTACTTCCTTTAAGTTTCTCCCGTTGATGGTGATTGGAGCTTCTTGTTGTTGTTGGTTATCTATTCTCAACTTTGGCTAGAAGATATTTCTCTAAACTTTGAATTGGAACATAAAATAATTTAATACTTATTTGTGCTAGTTTTAAATGATAAATTGTATACAGAATGACCTCCAAGTGATATATGTAACCTAATTATCAAGGACGTTTACATTCGTATATACAAGCGAAACAAAGTGGTTCAGCGAAGAGACTGTTTTCGGTGATTAAATTTACTAAGCTGTGCAATCCCAAGCACTGAGGGTTTTCTGGTAAAAGTATTGTTATGCTTCGAAAACTGCTATGACTGCTAATGATGGAAGGATATTGACTGTCAGCTACTAACGTTTAACAAATTCCTAGTTGATATCCGGGTCGACTAATTTATGGAGAAGACAAGATCGACATGTAGGAATCTGTATTGGAGTCGAAAGACCGTGAAAAGAAGTAGGGAAAATATATCTAGTATATAGATAGTTCGCCGTTTAAAATAATACTATTGATTAGCTGATCTCGTCTGTCCAGCTGTAGACGTGATAACACTAAGTACATTTTGATTGGTTCCTCACCAGACTAATCTTTTCTCTCTATCCCTGTATCAAGTGTGCGACTCGCACAGTACCTTGTAGCTCAGCTGGTAGAGCATCGGGCTGGAAATCTGGTGGTCGATGGTTCGAATCCAGCCGCGGTTCAAATTTTCATTTCACCTTCAGTCACCATCCAGTATCAATACTAGTCTGTCAAACCACAGCTATCTCAGGTAGTCAAAATGATAATTTGTTTTGTGTGAAAGAAGTTTGTTAGGCATGAAAATGAACAAAAATTCGAAATATCATTTTCCAGTGACTCTCAAGGCCACCTTAATAACTAGCGAAGTAACCGATTAAAGTTCTATATTTTATAAAATAACTACCTTTCCATTCGAAATAAAGAAATCTTATTGGTTATTTCACTCCTTGCTAGAGTCACTCAACTCTACCCCTAGAAATAAAAATGTTTATGAATGTTGAAAAGGTATAGTAACGAACAGAATTAAGGTGTCATCAACTAAAATTTCACAGCTACTTAGATTAATGAGTATCACTCAAGATATCATCGAAATTTAGCAAAGATTATTAAGTTTGTATAACGAGTTGATTAACTAGACAAAATACTTGATGAATGAATTGTTATCAAGGTGAGTATAGCAACAAAGAATCCTTGGTACTCTGTAAGAAATGAGGGGAATGAAAGTTACGGGGAGGGACGTTTTGAAAGGCTAAAGATTAAGACTGTTAAAGGTCTAGAGAATGAACAAACCTCTTTTACATGTAAACCTCCAATTTTTCTACTTCAATTGCTAACATTTCTGAAATACAAACAAAGCGGATATGCACTGGGTTTGGAACGTTTCTTTCCAATTTGTAAATAACTTTTAAAGAGGTGATTGTCGACAGCGAATCACAAAAGTTGACAAGATGTTCCATAATCATACTTTCTACAGGTTCGGTACTACCTCTTTGTAACCATGCCAACCAGTAAATGAAATCACCAAAAAGAATCTCTTCACTGAAATATTTGTTTTCATTTTCTAAATCTATATCAGTTATTTCACTTCTTACCATATATAGATAGGATTTCCCTTGATTGACGTTTTTATTGATGGCAGCTGAAAAAAAGCCACCTAAGTTACGGTGTAGTATCTGTCATAATGCACGCTGATGCGTCTCATTATTTACAGTTGTTTTACACCTCTCACTGGATCGCATGTGAATGTCACCAAGGATGCAAACACTTTATTGAAGTTTGTAGATCTTGGATACACTATGCACTGGCTGATATACTATAAGTAATAGTTTGAGCACGTTTGGATCATTCTGGTAGTTTTGTTTTTCTGAGTTTTGGTCATTACTCATTCGTTAATTTGTGACCTAAAAACTTATTGACGATACTACTGTACGTTTATTCACACACCTTATCACCTAGATACCTCAAAACACTTGTTTTAGTTACTAAAAACTGCAATAATTTGCTTGAATGTACCAGAAATCAAGTTGGATCATTTCTCCTTAATTTTCAAGTGACACTGAAACTGAAAAATGGGGAGAGTTTTGTACGGCATCAACCTCGAATATTGAATATCTTTAAAGACCACCTTAGCAACTGGTGAAATGAGCAATCAGGTTGCAGAATTCCAGCTAGATAGGTGGTATTTCATAAAATAAATAAACGTAATTGGCTATATCATCAGTCACTCCGAATATTAGGCTATATAACATGCTAACCAGAAGTCAATTTTAACTTAGTTTGGAAAACATTATTATTATTATCATTTGTCCCTTGGGTTTCTAGTGAAACACAGGGAATCAGTAGCACGTCGCCACTTCACTCTCTTCTCTGAAGTCTTTAAAACTAGATTCCACGACTACCCACAAGCTTCCATTTCTTCCTCACACCATCTCCATGTCACCCTCCAATCAGACACCCAACTCGTTGTTTCCCATTTGGATTCTACTCGAGGCCCTGGCCTGGCCTAGCGCGTGATATCCGCAAATGGTCTTCTCGTTGTATGCCTGATCCACTTCATCTCCACTTTCTGCATATTTGTTGGGCGATAGATTCTTGGGTGGTTCACTGTCCAGCCACAGTTCCTTGTTGCTCATTCTTATTATTCTGGCTATTTGATCTTCAGTATCCAGTGAGCATAGGCTGCAGCTGTTGATGAATGTTTGTAGTTTGTTGCAAATGCTTTTTGTAACACGTCAAGTTTCTGAACCATATAGAAGGACCGACTTGACGTTGGTGTTGAGAATACGCATCTTCTTCTTTATGCTGAGTGTAGTAGATCTCCACAATGATTTCAGATTAGTGAAGGCCTGTTTTGCTGTGTTTCCGATTCACACTGCTTTGACATCGTCGTTTGCGCCGCCACCTGTAGTTGAAACGATGCTGCCTCGGGGGTAGGTGGAAAAAACTACTTCCTTTTGGCTTCTCTTGTTGATGGTGATTGTTGCTTGTTGTTGTTGTTGCGATTGGTGATCTTCATCACCTCTGTCTTCTTTACGTTCACCCGAAGGAAGTCCCATCTTCCTTTGTTGCCCTGCCTCTTCTGACAACTTGTCAGTTTTCGGCTGTAGATCTTCGAGTTTATGAGACATTAGACACAAATCATCACTGACGAAATCCAAATCTTCTACGATCTTTTCATCAGTCCATCTTCTCACAGCTCCTGAAAGTTGTTTCTTGCATGATCCAGTCCAGTCGACCACAATCAAGAAGATCATCGGTGATAGTAGGCAACCTTGTCTTGCTTCTGTCTTCACTTCATTTCAAAGGCGTCACTGAGCTTTCCATTGTGGCGTCATATAGCAAGCATATAGCTGCTGAATGAGGTTGATAAAGGTTTCTGGTAACAAAACCATATTGTTGAAGCAGCTGCCAAATTACTTCTCGGTAGACTATGTCAAAGGCCTTTTCAAAATCAAAGGAGTTGAGGTAGTGAGTTGACTTCCATTCTAAACTCTGTTCTACGATGATGCGTAGCGTTGCAGTTTGATCCACGTATGATTTGTTCTTCCTGAAGTCAGGCAACCTGCCTCTTCCGGTCGTAGTTTTAAATCCAGCGCATCTTTTAGTCTCTTCAGGGTAATGCGGCGTAATATTTTGCTTGGGGTGGACAAGGGTGGAGCATGATTTCTCACGAGTTCTTGCAAAGACTTGGGTTTCCGTTCTTTGGAATTTTGACAAGGTAGGCTTTTTTCCAATCAATCTGCAGGTACCTTTCCTTCCTTCCTTACTTGCAAACCTTCTTCAGTAGTGACATGAGCATGTCCGCTGTTGTCTCCGTATCTGTTGTCAGTGCTGCTGGAGGAATCAAATCTGGTCCTGCTGCTTCCCCGGATTTCAGAAACCTTATGGCGTTCAGGACTTCACTTCTGGTCTTGTCGGAGAGCTTGTGTTCACTGGTGATTTTGTGACTGGGCTGCTGGAGGTATTTCTGGACGAGTTCCAGGTGATGGTCGATTCAAGAGTTTTTTGAAGTGGTCAGTCCATCGTTTCCCTTGTTTCTCCTCTTTGGTATCAAGTGGATTTCCTTCACTATCTCTCGTTGGTTCCATCTGTATTGATCTCTCTCTAGATAGTATTTTGGTTACTTGATATAATGTTTTCAAGTCTCCCACCTGCAGCCTGTCCTGCTTCACTCACAAGTGTGTCGTAGAAGTGTCCTTAGTCTTTGCGCACACTCTCCTTCACTTCTTTGTCCAGTGTAGTGTATTAGGTGTTGTATTCACTTCCCCCTCTCGTTGTTCCTCTCTACACTGGTTCATCTTCTACTCCACCATCACCATCTTCCTCTCCCTCCACTATCAGCTTCCATATGTCCATCGAAATCCATTTATTGTCTTGTCTTCTTTCTTCCTCCTTCCTAACACGCTTATGCAGGTCTCCTTCCACGTCACCTTCACAGAGTTCCAGTGTTCTTCCACACAGGTTTCCTCACAGGTGTTGTCTAAGGTCTCCCATTTTGTCCTGATGGCTGGCTGACGTGAAGATGTCCTTTGCAGTTTCGTCCTTCACTTCACTTCAGTTTCTGTTCTGGGTGGGTGTTCAACTTCAACTGTGGTCAGTCATCAACTTCCTTGAATTGAAGGCTTTCAACCTGATTCTGAAGGTAGGTTGCTAGTACTAGATAGTGAGTGGTGTGGACCACCGACATCTTCTCCCCTTCTTTATCTGATCTTTTGTCCAGTTGGCTGACTGAGTATCCACTTTCTTCACATTGAGATGAAGTCGATGTGATATTAGTGTGGTGTGTCTGGTGTCTGGTGAAATCAGATCCGTGTCGCTTTGTGAATATCCTTGTGTTTGTACACACTGCCTGACCTCCAATCACCAAATCATTAAATGGGCAGAAGTCTGTAAACAGTTTTCCATTCTCGTTCATTTCACCCAGTGCTTCTTGACCCATGACGAGTTGCCTTCCTGTGTTGTCCGTTCCGAGTTTGGCATTGATGTCACCTCACCCATTCGAATTTTGATGTCGCCAACTGGACTGGGGTCTTGTCCAGCACTGATTGTAGTTGTCTATAGAATTCCTCCTTCTCCTCTTGATCCGCATTATTTGTAGGTGCGTAGCGTAGCATTGTATGATTGTGACTTTCCTTCCTTTTGAGTTGAACCTTGCTGTTGTGATCCTGGAGGAGATTGGTTCCCACTGTATGAGAGCCTTCGATGCCGGCGGGGACATCATGATAGCCACTCCGAAACTGAGTGTGCTCATGGTTGTCGTCTGTATGACAATATCGGAGTAGATTATTGACTCTCCTCTCCAGTTGACAGTTTGGAGAGTCCAACTCCATTCCATATGCTTTCGCAGATTCCTAGCACTTTTATGCCATTCCCTCTCACCTCTTTTGCAATCTGGGCAGTCTTGTAGCCAGCTTCAAACATTGTGCAGATATTCTATTTTCCCAATCTTACTTTCGCTTTCATCGAGAGAGAGAGAGAGAGAAGACATCGGCCAATTGGCTTCCCGAAGGCATTCACCAACTGGCGTCATTTCGTCTCTCAGATTCCGTCATGATATAAGTTTATTTTTACTTTGTATATTTTCTTAGTGCTTTGAAGTTTCTTTAGCGGTTAGATTTGTTTTACGGGGTAGGGTTGCTAGCCTTATGCCCAACCTTGCCTCTTTATTCGGGCTTAGGACCGGCCAGAAAACTAGTGAACTGGTCAACACACGAATGAAAATGCATATCGCCAACATTCGCATTTAAATATTTTAAACCTTATAGTAGTAAAACTGTACAAATATGTCCCGTTTGTCTCTACAATCAATACTAACTAGTATATGAAATTTATCTGTAAACTTCTAGCAAATAGATTTTTTCAAAGCAGCTTTCTATGAGCCGGTATTTCAGTTAGTTTCATATACACCAATTTAATCACAAATAAAATCACATTGTTAGCCTTAAATGTCTACCAGTTTTATTGGTAATCGCAAATGATAAAGTGAATTAGTACAGGTCATTCCAATGCAACTATAAAATATATCTTCTGGAGATAGATGAGAAATTCTAGATACTGTCTGTCAATTTGTTTCTCAGCATTATTTATTCTTCATGAGCATCATTTAATACAAAGTATCAAACAGTCCATCACGATCATCCAACATGCCTGGTTCAGTTGATATGCGTTAGAATCTGATTGAGACAGGCTTTAGGCAAAAGTTCAGGGAATGAAAAGAAATTCCTCTATCAGTGATTTCATACTTATATTATCTTGAAAATTGTATTCCTTTATTAATTCTTCAAAATCTCAGACTATCAACTCCAGTTTCAGACACGAGCATAACCAATGTAAAGTACTGAAGTCTTATGTTTCCTGTTCTCTTGATAGCTGCGTATTACAGAATGCCACAAGCGTGAATTATCTAGGTGTATGTTTCCCTTTGAACCTTTCCTGTTCTTCGCATATCCTACTGGTTTTAAAAAGAATTTCCCACCTGACTTTCTATATTAAGAAACTGAGAGTATCTGGTATTCCTTAGATTCCTCTCTTGTGTTTTATGAACTTCTACATCTTGCCTTTTCTCCACTATGGTTCTTCGTTCTTTTCTGGGTTGTTAAAAAAGAGACTGCTGTATTGTGTATAACTTTGAAGGCTGTCGGAAAAACTAGTGGTATACCTCTAAACCTAATTAAAACTGTTGTGAACAAACATCTTAACTCATGTAAACATCTGACAGGAGTTACTTTAACAGATGTCCAGCATCCTCTTCACTCAAAGGTCTCTGAGTGTCCATCCGCAGGCAAGATCAGAAGCAATTATATAAAACTTTATACACGCACTACTAAATATAAATCTGTACAATGCCATATAACTATATGACATGCTTAAAATGCTGCACGATACTTTCGTAATATCTTTCGGGAAAAAAACTTCTATTTTTGGTTGTATTGTGTTCTCTGAGCTGAGCTGTTATATCTTAGAGCTTTCATAGTCTTTCTGGACGACATCATCAGCACTAAATTCAGTATGGAGTTAGTTATTATCATCAAATAATTGTATGAATCATAAGGATTCACAAACATAACTGAAATATAACTCATACACCAAAAATGGATTTTTGTCGAACTGGTGAGGAGTCCCATACTAGGACGAAACACCTGTCCAGTGCTCTCAGGTTTCCTTTGTTACTCCAACTGATGTCAGTCTACGATGAATAACAACTTGAAAACATAAGTGTCATTATCCAATGTAATTGTGACTAGTGAATTCTTCTCATTTGAAATTTTGTCTCCAAGTTTTCTACTCTCTTCCGCTAATTCCGTAGTTATACAGATTAACACTTGAGCACCAAAGTTACACAATGCAAACCGATAGTTCCAGTTCCTATAGCCGAAGAAATATTAGTCATTGAAGTATAACAGCCATATAATATATCTGAAACGCTTTGTACACAACAAACAGTGTAAGCAAAAAATTATTTACTTTTGCATGTTTAGATATCTAAACATCATAGATAAATAGCCTACTCGATTATAATATGCTATTTCACCCAAAAAGAGTATATTTGCGTAGAAACATACATGTACTGAGAGGCGATAATGTGTTGATGTGTTCTGGTTTGTTTACAATGCATCAGGTTCTTAGATAGTAATATTTCAGTTGAATTATATACCCCTTGTGTCGTAAGTTCATATTTGTTACTACCTAATTCTTTTTTACTTTCTTTAACTTTTGTGTTTCAGTTGACCAATTGAAAAAATACCGAGTGAAATACTTCACAATGATTTAATCTACAGGTTAACTTACTTCTCACATAGAGATTGATTGACTTGGGGGTATTTTATTGATGTTGATTCAATGTGTAACCTCAGTGTTTCTAATGACAGTGGTGGGAAGTTCAAGGCAGCCGAAACATCTAATAATTTAAAAAAAGAAATTGAAAATATAATCCATACGAAAAATAATGATACTTATGTCAGGCGAAGTATATGATTTACGTTATTGGCTTATTTTCAGTAGTTAACTGTCTGATAATTTTTATTTACAAAAATACAATTATATATTCAAAGCTCAGTGATGCTTTTGAAGTGAAGACAGGAGTGAAACAAGGTTGCCTACTATCCCCCATGATATTCCTTATTGTGGTCGACTGGATCATGCAGCAAACAGAGGGGAGCGAGAAGAGAGGGATACGCTGGACTGCGGAAAAGAACCTAGAAGATCTGGATTTCGTTGATGACTTGTGCGTGATGTCACATAAACTTGGAGATCTACAGGCAAAAACTAACAATTTGACAGAAGAGGCAGCGAAGACGGGACTTCAAGTGAATATAAAGAAGACAGAGGTAATGAAAATACCACACCAACAACTCCAACAAACTCCAGTCACCATCAACAGGAGAAACTTAAAGGAAGTAGCCTCCTTCACCTATCTAGACTGCACTGTCTCAACTACAGGCGGCACAGGTACAGACGAGGACGTCAAAGTCAGAATAGGAAAAGCAAGACAGGCTTTCATTAACCTGAAACCAGTGTGGAGATCTTCTGCACTCAGCATGTGGAACAAGATGCGGATTTTCAACACCAACTTCAGTCAAGTCAGTGCTTCCACGTGATGGTTCAGAGACTTGGTGGGTTACGAAAGGCAATTCCAATAAACTACAGACATTCATCAACAACTGCCACCTACGCTGGCTCGCTGCTGAAGATCAGATGGCCAGAATGATAAGAATAAGCAACAAGGAACTCTGGCTGGGAACGAACCAACCAACAACCTATCATGCAACAAATATGCAGGAAGAAGTGGAGATGGATTGGCCATGCACTGAGAAGGCCGACTGAGGACATCACGCGTCAGGCCAGGTACTCGAGTGGAATCCCCATGGGAAGCGACGAGTTGTGTGTCCGTGGTGAGGGTGACATGGAGGAGGTCGTGCGAGGAGGAAATGAGAGGTTGTGGGCTGTCGTGGAGGCAGGTTCAAAAGATCTCAGAGAACAGGATGAAATGGAGACGTGCTACTGAAGCCCTACGTTCCATTAGGAACCCAAGGGACTAATAATAATAATAATGATAATGATAATAATAATAATAATAATAATAATAATAATAATATGTTTCCAACCTACTGGGAGAAGACTGAACAGACTTTTCACTTTTGTAAGTTTTGACTTATCAGTAAAGAGATAATTTGAAGTTGCCATCTATCGTGAAACCCAAATTACCACAGCTAAGGGGAGTTGCAAATGGCCTGCTTAAACCTTGAGCTACCAAACATATTTCATCGAATATTTCATTAAAATCTTCCTTTTTGGTTTGTTTTAATCTTTTAAATATGTTTTCTAAACCTACCATGTATTCTCGCACATTTTAAAGATGTTTTCTAACTGTCGTTTCTCAAGTTAGGAAGAAAACGAAGAAAAACAATGTTACTCCGATTCGAAATGGACTGATATATGGTTAAAAATACAGCATAGTGCTATTCCTAAGACATCTATATGGAATTGCAGACTTTTGTACTGGCTGGTTGAACTAGCACCATCAAAATCATACTCCTTTTTGAGTTCACTTCCGAAATCCAGACCAGATGCCAATGTAAGTAACACCAACTGTTCGTTTCACACCATTCAGACGCAATAATTATTTCTCTAAAAAATATTTTGCAGAGAAAGAACTTCTTGAAATATTAAATGCTGTGAATTCCATACTGTGTCACACATATTGTTTGGAATAAAGCGACTATTATTATCATACAGGGAGTTAGTTCGGGATTTCAAGTGGTTTTCCAACAGACTTTTACATATGGAGAAGAATTCAGAGGGACAAATACATCTTAATCCTGCTACTTGATGAAGACTCAATGACTCAGTGACTGATGTGAAAACCGCCGGAACTGACATTTTATTGCAATATTTCAAGTATTCTTCGATGAATAAATTCAGTGTATGGCAACTGTTTTCTTTGATAACATCCTATAAGTAGAACCAGTACTAACTGGGGAAGTCATTTGAAGGTTACTCCAGAACCTGAGGCCTGTAAGTTCCAGTTGTGCAGATGAGACACATCCACACATATCATAGTCACCAGAAAGCAACTATCTAGGCTGTTTTTTATGTTGTCGAGTCAGTTAACATCGCTAAAGAAATGGATGAATCCTATCATTGGCTTAGTTTATAAAACTAGCAACTGGTAGCTAAATACAGCCTGGTTAGTTTGACTAGTTTATTCGTCTGACTTTTAGGAAAGATTCTCTGTAAAGCCATCCTTAAACACACTGAGAGGGACAACTTTCTAGAGATGAAACAGAGAAATTTCACAGCTAATCACTCATAGTTGGCAAAGCTCATGAGCGCTGAACTGCTCCCATAGGCAAAAACATGCTAAGCTGTATGATATTCATTAACTCAAGTGTAGCCTTCCACTAGATCTCTCGTCCAGTTCTTGTGAATAAACTTAAAACATCGAAATTAACGGTGGAGATTGGGATTGGTTCACAAATACTCTCGCTAAATGATAAAGGTGACCAATGTTTTATCCCCATTGTAGACTGAAGTGCTTCATTATACAGTTTTAGGTTTATTGTTATTCCTACATTTTGCAAATTCGAAACTTGAGGGGACTAATCACTGTACTAAGGATAGGCTACTACCGTATGAAAAACAAAATGCTTTATTAGACTGGTTCACCAGATGGTCCCTATAAATCAAGACGACAAAGAGTTTACTCATATTATTTCATTTCAGTCAGTTTATTAGATATAGAGTGAAACAGTATTTTTTACTGAGTAACGTTTCAAACATAATTCCTTGTCCGTACTCATATCAGGTGTTATGTTAATCAATGGTCCAAATGATTACTGGGTCGGTAACATGCTTTTATCGATCATAACTAAACAGCTTAAAATATCAGCTGAGCATAGGGTGGTAACTATCAAAGGGTTTCTTAACTTCGTCCTATGTTCAAAAAGGTGTCCAGAGCCTTGATGAATATATGCTGATTTTAGACTTGACATTTATCAAACTGACTTGGAATCTAGAATCCAAGAAGTAGGATAAAAGAAATAGAAGTGGAGACATGCTTCAAATATTATAGTGGTTGCAGAGCACAGAAACTAAAATATTGAAGACCTCCCCAACCTCTTCGCTGAAAAAAAGACTGGACTGCTCAGGTCTTCTTCCATCATCTCATCGTAGGGTGAAGTGTGACCTCATGTCAATAGTTTACGGACTAATTAATCCTTATTTATTCTTTCTCCTAGAATTTTTCAGCCTATATAAAGTCATAAAAAAGTCCGCAGTGGAATCATTTGCATCTGGAAAACTGTTCCTCACACAGAGTTGTAAGCCGGTGAAAATTGATCTTCGCGGTATTATCGATTGTAGAGATTAATATAGGCAACAGGCCTAATATTTCTATTTTTGAACAATGAAAGCTTTTCTTAGCCCTTCTTAGATTTCCCCCATGAAATTTGGTTATCTCACACCCTTTAAAATTGTAATCGGATCTTAGAACCCTGTGCACATTTGTACACTTTGTCAGTAATCCTCAAGCTAAACAGTGAGAGGCAAAAAGTAGCCAGGTTTGTCAGGTAGTGACTTAATTAGCCGTATAACCGAGAATCTATTCATCTATAGTACCAACACTATACTTCATTTTATTCGTTACCACTAAATTTATCAGAATAAGCAAAGATGAAATGCACTTTGAAACATATACCAAAGACATGACTTCTATAAATGGTCCAAAGCGAATAATTATACTTCAGGGGCTATGATCAAAGTATATCAGCCCCCAGTTAGAGGAAATGAGAAAACGATTATGAATGAATAAGCTGTTGGATAACGATGATCACTAAACAATATCCGTAGTCTAAGGTCGGTTAAAATGACTGTATAAGGTGACTTTACTGCATGAAAAATGTAAAATCTTCTCCCCTTCAAAACTATGCCTCTTTAAGAGTGCTCTCAAAGTGATAACTACCTGATAGAACCCAAATAAGCTAAACTGAATTGGGAAGGAGTTAATTCAGAAAGATTTAAGAAACGCACCTGAATTTGACAGCCAAGTGTCTATGAATAAATAGGTTAGATTATAAGCTGCCAGCATCTCTGCTAACTGACTACAATAAGTCGTCGCTATTCAGGGATGTTTTGTAACAATAAAGCTTTTAAAAGAAGAAAGATAAAAAGGGATTCAACTTGAGAAACTTCTTGATTGTCAGTCGCTTCAGCTATTTGAAGTTTAACAGAACAACAAATTCTAAATAAATGCATATTAGGGTGTTCCATTTCATCATTTGTAGTCAAAAAGGTTATGACAGTTGTTTCATTCTGCTGTCAGACCTCTAAGCGATCTGCATTAATAGGCGCATACTATACTGAGTTCTTAAGCCTTAGGTATATATATATATATATATATATATATATATATATATATATATATATATATATATATATATATATATATGTATATATATATATATATATATGTCGCCAGTCAATCACTCAAAGTGCCTCATTCACGTCGTACTTGTTTAGCTAATTCATTTCCTGGGACAAAAGAAGCCTACAACCATGAAATAGAAAGTGAGAATTAAATTAGTGTTGGCGGATCGATAGGAAGGGGGAAAATTAACAAAAACTTTTTTCCAACTGCTCTATAAACAACAACAATGAGAAAATACATAAGAGCTTGACTATATTCAGCACTTTGTGAAATAGAGCTTTGATCTTCCGTGTAAATGTAGAAACTAGTGTCAAACAAAAGTATGACCTTTCCGAATGAAGCTCTATTTCGGATATTACTTCACCTTTAACTGTGGGGAATACGAAACTTAAATTTACTAACTGTTTATGTACTTAAGAGCTCTTGTCACAAAAAAAATGAAAGTATATTGAATAGTGAGAGACTAGATTGCTGTTGCCGCATGGCTTCCATAAATCATCTGTGCCGAATTTAATTTTGCTTTGGAGTTTAAGCAACTGTACGAAATACTTCAAACAATGCATAGAATTATTTTATGAAACTACCTGTGTGTTCATTTATCTGCCTAAAGTTGTCCTCTTCTCTACTGATTTGATTCATGTTACCACAATCGCACTTATGTCCGAAAAAGCCTTTTGAATTCAGTTTGTCATTGGATTTGAATGGAATAGGTTCATTATTATATTTTTCTTCATCTGAATGATAAACTTTCCCATGATCAGATGAAACAGGATAAATACCATTTTGACGAAGGGTGGAAAAATTCTGGTTTTCTACATTCTCATCCATTTTTTCGCTTGTTTCTCTTTGACTACGAAATGACCTTCTAGTTTCTGTTTGGTTATCAACATTATTATGACTAGTATTGCAAAAACTAGGTCTAGGAGTGTCAGGATCTAAAAAAAATGCATAATATGTAAACTGTAGCTACGTTGTCATGGCTAGATAAACATGAAATAATACAAGGGTCATAGAGGTATTGCATATATATTCGACTAATTTACATATAATAAATACATCCTGCATCTATCTGTCATACACTAACAGAGAAATATAAATTTGCATTTGACTACATTTTATTCTCTTCAGTAATGAACACAAGCCACTTTAATCAATAAAATCCTACTCAGATTTTTGTTGCATTTTCTATGCAGTAAGAAATAATGCGTTTTCATTCGGTAAAAGTGACAATAAATCATAGATATGATATATCATTAAGAGATACTTATATTCACTCGTATGTAAATTATTGAAGTAATCCATTTTATATAAATGAATTGAAAGTGAACGCAACAGAAACTTCTCTACTAAGATAATCATTATTTATATAGTCCACTTAGCTAGATAAGCAGGATTGTACTATAAGTTTTATTGTCTAAGAAAGTGATTTTCTTCTATTTCCTGAGCAGAGTAAACATCAACATCAGTTGTTCGGTGAACAAGAAAGTCGATTGTCATGCAAGAGTTATTTACCTCTTATATTTTTGATTGATATGCCTAATTCAAGTCGTTTGAAAGAGTAAATAGAAATAAACTCTGAGGAGTTCAGTTGTTATAAAAGGGAAAACCTTTGGGCCAATGTTTTGAAGCCCTGTTTGCTGATAAGAAATATGGTAAAATCAAATAACTAACTTCCTATTATAAGCCTTGATAAAGCAATACCACCTACTTTTAATTAGTATTGGTTGACAGATATTTCGCAGCCTGTACATATGATAAATATAAAATGTAAACGTGAAGGTAAATCTTCAGTGATGAATGGTTTCCTAAGTGCATCTATTGCATATTTAGTCATTTTTCATATAATTTAATATCTATGACACCTTTATGTTCTCTCAGCTTTGATATCTTGTCTTGAACATCTCATCATCGGGCCTGGTTATTTCTTCAGCACTAACTTCATAAGAAGTCTGGTGATCAGACCTTTACGATAAAATATAGAAGTGAGGAGAGCACAAAACTATACTCAATCTCATTCTGAACCGAAAATCTTTTTATCTTTCAGCTTTATTATGCATATATCCTAATCACTGAATGAAACAAGAGCAGTTAGCAAGTGTCATAAAAACGGTTAAACTTTAATGTGAAGATAGTCCAAAAGAGGCTAGGAATGTAGTTGTCTTGCTTATCATGAAGCAAAATATACCTTCTGTTAAGATTCAGAGTTGCTTGATTTGATACACTCCGTATAGTCACTGATAGATTATAATTATTTCAGTTCACTTCCAATGAGGCTGAGAATTGCATACTAATCACTTACTAGATGTATTGAATGACTGAATAAAATTATTTTTGTACGGGGTATATGCAATGAATTTTCTCATATCAAATAAATCACTCTAGTAGCCGTTCTCAATCCTCAGATATTACGCCTTATAAATGAATTCAATAGTTATGTAAACCATGGACACTTGCTCCTTTCTGAATGAATTCTAGAAAGTATCTTTCAATTAGCTTGAAAAAATTTCAAGACTGTTCAGTTTCCTAACAAAAGTTAAGTGTCCGGAAATTTCTTTAGCCATAAAAAATGCCTGAGAAATTTAATTTTCGAAATTCACCTCTAACATACTTTATGAAAATACAATAATTGGGTTTGTTGATCACACTACTAACAATTTCACTGATTTTCAGGTTCTGCTATTAGCCATGCACTATATTGTGGACAGAAAGAAATAAGTCATTGTAAAACTGTAAGTAAAATACATCTAGCTTGGTCTTCATTGTCACATATTTAATTTTGAGGATATTTCCACAACTCTGAGGCCTTCATTTAAGTAAGATAAGAGTACCTGGACAACGTTCTGTTACTCAGGAGATCCCTAACAAAGTGTATATCCGCTCTACAATTGTCTCAGCTGCTTCATCAGTTAGAAATATAGCAGCTCTACTAAATACAACATTTGTAACCTTTGCATCTGCCAATGTTGTTTAGCACTAACAATTTAGAAAATCTTAAGCAGTTCACTTCATAAAATCCTATGAATTCAATAAAAAAAAGCATCATATATAGCATATTTTATGCATGAAATAAGCTTTCTAAGGTAGTTCTACTGACAAATTCTCCTAGAAGCTTTGTTTTGGTGATAGTTTCTTTTTTACAGATTCATTATTATTGTTTTTACGCAAGTATTCACGCACGTATTTTGTGATAATGTTTGAAGTAGTTCTACTACTTTCAAAAGTAAAACAGGTCAAAAAATGGAATGATAAATAATTCAGACAAGATGGAGATTATCATTGGTACATTTTGCTTGATTAACAATCTAGGAGATGTAAGTTATTTTCACAAATTAGATTAAACCATTAGACTAATTTTACACATGGAAGACTGCAACCTGGAACCTAGAGAACAGGTTAGTTGTACTTTAAGGACGTCATAAACATTTGTACAACACATCAGTTTTATTTTTATATTTCTGGTGACATTTCTTAGAATATGAGTATCATAATAGGCGTTAGACAACGCAAAGAAAAAAGACACTACCTTGTAACTAAATAATAGCATCAATAGTGGTAACCAGCTGAAACGTTTCTTAGTGAAGCAGCAATTTCGGTGAATAAATTCATTCCATTAATTTCCAGTTGAGTTTGTCACAGCTGGCACACAACGACATTCTGACTTAACTATCTATATTAATTTTCTTCTTTTATTATCTCAGGGGGGAACAACATCACTCATTGAAAAGCAGTTGTATTCAAGTGACGAGTCCCTCAGTAGGACGAAAAGTTCATCCTGCATCACACTATACAATATTAATTTCTTCACTTGTGACTTTTGTTTTATATTGGTCACACTGAGGGAGTATAAAAAAGGTGCGACTTAGGGGAAGGTGTGGTTAGAGTTCGACGTTTAAAAGCAGTTTACCAAACAAGATTCACAGACTATTTGTTACATAGGCACTCATTTATTTTTACCATCAGTCCTAATCAATTAAAAGCTTTATGCAACTTTGATGTATTACTCAGACGGAAGAGACAAGGAAAACAGTAAATCAACAGAATGCTGATTCATAAATCAGGAGATGTTCAGATCAATGGTTTAAAAATTACAGAGAATTCGACTGCATGAAAACCAATAGTGAGCATAGAAACTGATTAAATGATTAAGGAACTTCATACCATCTTTTGTAACTGTCTCGTCTTCTTCAGCTGTTTCACTGAGTTGCAACTGTCCAATTTCTGTTTCTTCACCAATCCACACCTGTTTGACATAGAGATTCAAAGCATTTTGTAAAACTAGACAACATTCAAGTTTATGTACAAAAGAAGCCTGCACTCATGTGCAGAAAAAAGGTAGTAATAATGTCCACGAGTATGACGCTCAAAAAGATTCAGCATCGAATACTACCGGTAGAAATTATCAAGAACATTCAGGATCCCCATAAATTCATTCGTCCCTACATTTGGGGAACTGCTTTAACACAGGTTGGTGAATTCTAATGCCGTTTAATTTGCAGAAACAGATATATGTAATTTGCCATAGCCAACCAAATGATTTTAAAACCGGTTGGATAGAGGCAATCAGCAAGAAGTTCTCTAACTAGGTTCTGCGCTTGTTAGCACTCATCAGCAGGACGTATCTACAACCCCCTACGGAACTGGTGTCATACCTGAAATTTGAACCCTTGTCACCCAGTGGAGTAGTCAGCTACGCTATCACTGAGCTATTGAGTTTGCGACTGACCTCCTATAGAACTGAATTAAACACATTGATTGGTCTCTGGAGGGTAACCAATTTCATGTTGCCTAGCTCTATGTGCTGACCGAATTCTGTTGATCACTTTTAAATGTGGCCAAATGCACGAAGCCAAGATTTACGGCTTCCTGTCGAAAACTTCCATCCAACTACCACATATCGAAGTGCATTGTGATGCTGAGGTGTTTAGTCTGGTGGCCACATTACAAAATGATTGATAGAATTCGATCATCACTTAGGACTTAATAACATGAATCTGTTTACCCTCCAGTGGTTTCATATCATTAGTGGAAGGCTCACTCTAACTAGCTGGAGACAAATGGAAGGCGCTAGTGAAGTCTTGACCTGAAACTTAATACCTACTGGAATGTAAACGTGCCGACGAACAAAGTCTGAGGTTTACTTGTCCTAACGCCTGTGTAATCCAAAAGTTTTACTCACAGCTACTACCCATTACTTTGTAACTTATCTACCTGCCATACTAAAATAAACAATTTAATAAGGATGAGTTCGTTTTTACAAGAATAATATTGCTTTTACAATCTGTTTACGTGTCAGACGATGTTCTAGTCAGAAGTTTAACACAGCTTCACCGAGATGATATGAGAGTGAACAAGAAGTTATGACTAAACGGATTCACACAGAGTACGTTGTAAAAATATTGATCACTTAGTGCAAGACGTTCAAGACTACTTAATCTGATGATTTCCTGTCAAAGTACAATCTCACAATTTTGTTTGAAATACGTAAATGAACGTTTTGAGCGGACATTTCGGTGAGCAGACATACTTCAAGTATAATGCAGGAAATAAAACAAGAGATCTGGATAAGCGTATAGTCTTGAGAATAAAGGATAGCAATAAAATAATTATTTGCGTAGTACAAAAAAAGGAATAAACAACAGGGTTTAGTTGACTTCTTTTTGATGCCCTGGCACAAAAAGGTGGGCATAAATATCTACAGTGAATAGATGAATAATTTACACATGCTTACAATAGTCTGCATCTTTCTCTTTACAACTGTCTCACAGTAGATATATAGGCGATAAACATGTCCGTAGTACAGAAGATTGTTTCGGCATTCAATCGAAGTAACATGTAGCATATTTTGAAAATTATTCCGTGACTATTATAAGTGGAAGTTGTAAGCCATTTAGCTTTCAATACTGAAAACCTTGTTTTCTTAAACATATGACAACTAACTCGATGATACTTTACTGGCTAAAATACATTCATAATGTTTATCATACTGAAGAATATTAGATTATATGCTATATCATTCAATTAGAGTGGTGATGTATTTTTACTAGCTGTTCACCAAACAAATACTTACTGAAATGCTGAGAAATGGTATGGATACATTTTGCTGAACCTATATAAACTTTAACGCAAAACAGCAATCTCTCACTAGTAGTTACATTTGCAAACACGTCAATACTGATATGTTTAAAGATAAAGTATTATTTTAAATTGGTATCTGTCTGACTAGTGTTCATGGAATCAGTTTTAACTTCATTGCTTCATTTGCCATAATGCTTATCAATGACAGATTTTCTTCAGTTTTACAATCTGTCACTCAAAATAATACCACTAGTATGAAATGAATTCTTTATTTTACTGTCTCTATCAAACTTACATGCCTTTCAATCACACATTTCTGCTTCGAGTACTCATTTATAGGAAACTAAATAAAATGGATACTTTAGTAAGTTTATAGTACAAATAGAACTGTTCATAAATTAACATTAATGAAAAGTATGAGAACACTTTTGATATAATCAACGCGAAGTAGAAATAGTGATTACCGGTGAATTTTGATGATGCCTTATTACTTCAGTTAGGTTACGCAGCCATTCAACTTCTGAGAAAGAATTCTTTTTTGAATTAATCGTTAACAATGGTACAGTGTCTGTTATAAAATAAGATTTATGTTGACGTAAATGAACTACAGAATTCCATAAGAATGTAACCATCTCTCTAATTGTGGCACGTGTACGATTGCCTGCTTTTGAGGGGATTAATAAAGCAGCAGAGTTTTTATTAAATTGCCAATAATGCTTAAGTAACTCTTTCAACTGAGATTTTGATGATGGATTGATCAATATCACTATTGGTGGGATTCCTAGAATACCAAGACGTTCAATAGCTGCAGAACCAATATCCAAAAGGCAGTGATAACCTCTTTTCATACATTCCTGCTCAAATTAAAATTGAATGGAAAGATTCATAATTTAATTATTGTAACCATAGTTATCAATGTAATATCTAAATGACTATCATTAGAATGATGTATCATATATATTACTATTAAATTCACTATTTACAAAAAATATACATTCTCGAAACTTTGGTATTTGGAGAAACTTCTGTAACTTACCTTCTTTATTTCCGGTGATAATGAATGATGTACATATCTATCATTCAGGAACATTTTTGACTTCTCTGAGAGTTATTGTCGAAATCACAGGTCGTGTTACCAAGCAATGCATAGTTCATGTGAACTAATTTCGTGATAGTAGTCTATGTAGGTTTCGTATCTGAAATACTGACTGAAGTCTACAAGTCACTTGTGAAACATGATCAATAGGTTTTGCACCACCGAGCATGAAACCTGTGTTCTCCTCTTTCACCTAACTAGCTCGAAACCCTTATTATTCCGAAAACTGCACTGCAGTGGCATTAAATGTGGATTGATGGCCAGCTGGTGCATTGTGTTGGTGGAATACAACTACTAAGTGATGCAAGAGACCTACACTGTCTTTCATTGGACAACTTATTATTATATACTCAGTCATATCATAAATCTATGCAGAATTCCGTGAATATATTTCTTCTGGGATTCGTATCTACAGGGTCAATACTAAAGGAATTCTTAATTGAATTTTGAGGGAGTTGTGGGGATCCCTGGAGGGGTCGTGGGTGCGCGCTGCTGAGGAGCCCCATACTAGGACGAAACGGCTGTCTAGTGCTCCCAGGTTTCCTTTGTTCCTCCAACTGATGTCAGTCTACGATGAATAACAACTTGAATTCTTAATTGTTTAAATTATGGTACGAACAAATTCCTGGCTATTTTAAAGTTGACTTAGATTTTTGAAACTTTCGAACCAAAGTTTACTGAAATCATGTAAAATCACATAAACTGTATAGAGTTGTGCGAATAGCTAAAAGCTTCTAGTGAAAGCCATGTCATTAATTGTCTTTTAACCTCGCTAAGTTTCCAGCACTCTTCGGTGTACCAATAAGCATAATTTCATTGAAGTGTATTCATACGTGGTTAGCAGATGTGTCACTAAATTTCACAAAGCCCAGGTTATTAAACTTATAGTTGCTTATGGTAATATGCCTAAGCAAGATACGATTTGGAATGAGAAGCACTTCTACTGACGAAAGAAGTGATGAAAGCTTGAAAATATGATATCAACACTAATTCCCTAAACTATGACTTACAGACTAATGCAATTAGGATGTCGTTAATCAGTGATAATATAGTAATTGTCAATAATAATTCTAGTATATATAATACCAAAATACTCAGATATTTGTAGGACTAAATTGCATGGTTACTTTATCGCTGTGTGTATCGTCACGTGTTTTTTTCATGAAGTAAACACTCATAATAATTTCTTGACTAAAAAATGTTGTATCTGTTTAAGAATGATGGATAAGAGAAAGATTAAACTCACTCACATTGATTGCACTCAATCTGACTAAACCGTAAAGTTTATTATTGTTAATATTTTGCCCACTGGTTGATAAATGGTTGCTTAGATTAGAGAAAGCTGAATTTATTGGTGGGATAATAAATTTCATTGTTTCTTCAATAAAATAATCAGTTTTTGTTGATGAAATAGATGACATTTGTGCAAGACGTTGACGTGCTAATTCACATAATGGACCAAATATTACAACTGGTCGGGGAAATGGAAATCTTTCCAGCTGTATAACTCTTTCATATGACGGTAGGGTAAATGATGTTTTTTGGTTATCCTATAAATAACAATTATCAATCATTTAACATTATAGCAAAACTGAAATTCAAATAATTATCAGTGCTTGAAAACATGGCTTTATTTTTGAGATAGTTCTTGCCAATTAGTTCGTAAGGAGTCACTTGAATTCCACTAACAACTAACCTAAAAGCAGCTAGGCTTAGTGAAATAAACTGCACTACTTTCATTAGACTTGGTCAAGTTCAAAGACTGATTTTCACCAAGAACATTCAAAGACAGGGGAACACTGTTTATCACCGAAACTGAAACCATAAATCCGGTGACTTAGAGATAATGTGTTCACTCCAAAACCGGATAGCTTTTACTTTTACTTTTCATACAGGGGACTGTATAAGCTGAGAATAGATCACGATTTTCTGAAGAGAATGGCTGGCAATCAACTGAAAGGCTTAATTACAAAGTAGATTCAAAGGATCACAAAAACGTTGGGTGAATAGTAAATTGCTCAGAGAACAATAGTAATGCAAATAAATTTCATCAACTGAGTAAGCTGATAGTGAGTAATAAGTACAACATAAAATGGTAATAACTCGGAATAAATACAGAGAGTTATTAAACAGATATTTTTTTAATAGTGACAGTTATGAGAACTAGACGCTAGACAGTAACATTATATTTTCCTGACTTTGGCCAGTTCTAAATTCATGTGTCGTAATTGAAAAGTGCCGCATACTTCAGCCTTGAAAGGCCTCACTGTATCATTTATGTAACAGAAAACAGGTCACACAATACCATTGAAATAACTATCACCTATGGTTGTGGTACTCTGAGGAATTTGTTGATTCTTGAAGAGTAATTGGCAGTAAAGTGTATCAAGACTGATTAAGAACTCTAAGAAAGAGTTTTCAGAACAAGCTTTTGATTTTGAAAAATTGCTTACTACATTTGTTGTTGATGTGGTAAAATAGTCAGCTGAAAAGCTATCGCATATCATTTAAGGCTTGCAGTACTGGACTATTTCGGGAATAAAAATAATGTCTTTTACGTAATCAAGATTTACTTCATTGACAAAAGCGTTTGTTTTGTCATCATCAAATAATCGGTACTACTTATCAATACAGCAATGACCCTTCAGTCAAAAGGAATAAACTTACTTTTTGATAAGAAATTGCGTAATCTTCGTGGTCAATTTTCTCTAATATACAACGTGAATCGGGCCAAATTTGTACATTTCATAGGAAGACATGTTTAGGCAACACAGGCCATTAGTTAACATGTATACATTCACGAAATCTACATAGTCTCAATTTGAATGGAAAAAGAACAACGATTGCAGCAGAATAAGGTGGTACTCCTTTATCTCACTGGTTTCTCATCAGCTGTTTACAATCCCTTGATGCAAATATTACCACATATGCACGCAAACCTGGATACACAATTATGGGTAACATGGGAAGGGAACCTATGGACTCTGGATTGTAACGAACAGCTTGTTGTTCTGTAGGGAGAGATCCAGTTTGCTACAATATATGTTCTGTCCGATGCGGCAAATAAGTGGTTTCAGAATTACAGTCATTCGGCATCTTATCAGTACAGGACATGAAAAGGATACCTTAGAATCCACCAAGGTAATCAAAAAACGAAGTAACTCAAACTTTCTCAAGCTCGGTGATGGCGTGGAGATCAAAAGACAAAAACCGGAATGGCGTGTTCTAAAAGAAGCAGCGGTAATTCTTTCTTTCAGCTGGCAACCTAATATTTTACTCTTCCTCTAAATTGATGACATCATCCTTTTGACTAAATCTTTCCTTGATTGGCACATAATTTTGATGATCGTTCTGCCGACTGAGTTCAACTCATGGTGTGTGCCCTGTGAGCTGGGATATTTAATCGTGAAGCCTTCATCGTCTTGCGAGACGATATCATCAGCACTAACTTCAGTATGAAGTGAGCTGTCAATGTCTCTCCGACAATGTGGTCTGTGATTGGCTGTTTCCTTCGATGGTTGTCACTGAGATGTCATCTCATAGATTTTCCTGTCGGCTGTTCCTCTGCTTGACCTGTTACCTATATGTCGTTTCTCATCTTTCTTATTGGTTGATAGATTGGGTATAGGTCTACACATCTACTGATTACTGACTGACCTGAATGCCAGGCTTCAAGGAATTTTCGGATATTCTTTGTGTTTCCTCTCTCCCTCCAAAATTTCTACATTGTGGAGATTGAAGTCATGTCCATAATTACCCATATGCACTGAAATGAGTGGTGAAATGTCCCGAGGTTTAATGGCCTATTGGTGCTCATGTAGACGAAGGCGAAGAGGGCGACTGCTTCGTCCAATGTAGTGTTGACTACAGTTATTGCAGTTGATTTTGTAAATGATATTTGGTTCGTCTTCCTTGGTTGTTGCATCGTTTGGTTTGTATAATGGTGTTTGTAAGGAATTTGCTGGTTTATAGGCCACACCGATTCCCAGTAATCTTGTCGTGATTTCCATATATTCTTTATGTATGGTAGGATGATTCGGTGACTTTGTAATTGATGATGGTGGGATAGGCATCTCTTGACAAAGTTTCGTGGGTAACCGCTCTTCTTTAGGATGGACATCAAGTAATTTCCCTCTCTTCTCCGTGAAGTTGTTGTACTGCAGTGTGTTCTGGCTCTTTTGAATACAGTCTGCACGCCACTGACCTTGTGGGCTGTTGCTATTGTAGTTGAGGATTTGGTCAGTGTGTGTTGGCTTCCTATACACTCGGGTTTCCAGCTTTCCGGTATTTATTCTACTGACTAGAACACCCAGGAATGGTAGTTGGTTGTTTGACTGACTCTTTCTCCATTGTGAATTTGATGTCACTGAAAACGTTGTTGTTCAAATTGTGGGTGTTTTCTATATCTTCTTTTTTAATGATGACAAAAGTGTCGTCCACATATCGAATCCAGGATTTTGGTTTGATCAAAGGTAGGATGATGGCTTCCAGTCTCCACATCACTGCTTCAGCAATTAGTCCAGATGTTGGTGATCCAATTGGAGTTCCTTTCATCTATTTGTATATCTTGCCGTTGAATTAGAAGTATGCTGTCAGGCAAAGGTCGATGGGTTCCATCAGACTTGAACATTTAAGTTTAGTGCGCTCTGATAGGCTTGCATCTTCAGCGAGGAGGATTGACACAGTTTCTTTAGCCAATTGGGTTCGATGGATGTGTACAGAGCTGTGATGTCGAAGGATGCCATTAATTCATTGTTTTGGTCTTTTCTAAGAATTCTGTTGGGGATTTGATCGAATGTCCACATGACTGAATAAGGTGCTTCAGTTTTCTCCAAAGTTCTCTTGATGTGTTGCATGTTGGAGTTCCTGGAAGTGAGACTATTGGTCTTAAAGGAATATCTGTTTTGTGTAGTTTTGGTCTGCCGTAGAACCGAAGAAGGATGGTTCCATGCGATTTCATTGACCATTTGTCTTGCTTTGTTATTTCTTCTGCTTTGAAGTGTTTGTTCAAGGTTTTGTTAATCCGGTTGTCGATTTTTTGGATAGGGTTGGTTTCAAGTAGTTAATATGCATTTTCATCTGTGAGTAAATCCTCTGTTTTCTTGATGTAGTCTTTTTTGTCCATGGCTGCTGCAGTGCGTCCTTTGTCTGCTGGAAGTATCACGTTGTCTTTCCTATTTTTCAGCTTTTTAATGTTTTCTGTTCTTGAGTGTTCATTTGAGCGTGATGTCTCTTCTACCTGGTCAGTGGTACGATTGTTTGCTGTATTTCTTTTTGAGTGACATCATTTAATCCTGAAGTTTTAAGTGACGATTCTGACCCTGCAAAAAATTCTGGTTTCGAGGCCTCTTTTGTGTTGTAATTCAATCCTTTTTGAAAGAGAAGTTCTTCCATTTTTGTAATTGATTTTTTTTGATAAGTTGGCAACACAGTCATTTATTCCCTTGGTTGTCGGTGCTTCTAAGATTTTGAGTAGCTTTTTCCTGAGGATGTTTCTTCGTTATTCTTTGTATCGTCTGCATAGTTTTTCAATTGCAGTAGTCAATGTTGTCATGTGTCGTATTGTAAGTATACTTTCTGGTTTTACGTTTTGATTGTTAATTACTGATTGGTATTTCCTGATCCTATGATATGCTTCTGTGATCATTGATTGTAGCACTTGTCGTCCACTTTGTTCAACTATTTCGCATTCCATTAGACAGTTTATCTGTGGTCTATATTTGACACTCTTCGGCAGAATATGCTGACGTAGGCAGTCATGGCGAAAGAATAGTTGTTCTTTTGTAGTAGCTTGCCTTCTTGAGAAGTCCTCCCATTTTCGAACAATATAAAGCTTAATACGCTCGTATAATTTTGAAAAGATGGAGAATATTTGTAGCTCAGGTGGATGGTCTTGGTTGTATTGTGTCCTCTGAGCTGGGTTGTTTAATTATGAAGCTTTCATCGTTTTTCTAGACGACATCATCAGCACTAACTTCAACTCATTTTATCACTGCATAACTTGTCTGTTCCTTATCATCTGGCCGACTTGTTAATCTTCTTACGTGACATCTTATTACTATTCATATTCTTTTCTCGAACTCTCTGTTAATACAATTATAACTGAAAATTCACAGCGTTTCTTGATAACTTTATCTGGATGTTTTTACTCTTTGTTAAACCATGTCTTTTCCTGTTAACTAACTTCAGGTAACTGAAAAAGAATGTAAGCACTAACTCATTTGTAATATGATATTTAAGTTTGTTTAGATCGTAAGCAACTGATGAGGAACCGACGAAATAAAATGGTGCCACATTCTACTGTGATCCTTGTTCTTTCTCAATTCAGGTTCATAAATGAGAATATATGCATGTAATTTCAATTTTTTGAAACAAACTAAGTTTAAAATTGGAGTATTCTACACTATACAAAAAATAATAATTTTGCAGATTATTGAAACTGAAGGGCGACTATTAAGGTCGTTTGAAAAATATTTGAGTACTGGTTGATTTTATTTTGTTACCAGCATGACTTTTATGTCTTATGGTTCAAAAAATTAAGATAGAAGGTTATTAACCGTCTCACAGTATCCTTACTATTCAGTCTGATTCATATTTATCAAACATACAGTGAAAACTTAATGATAAGAGAAAAATAATATAGACCAGAAAAAAAGACAAACGATTAAAATGGAAGTCATGCATATCATTATGCGTCATTAATAAGAGCAACAGAAATGTGAAGTTCATTCGCACAACTGGGATAAACTTACAATAATTCTGTTTACTATGCACAACAATTGATCTCTTAGACAAAAATTGGCTGAAGTAAGGTACTTGTACTTCAATAACATGAACCTATGCTTCATTTTGGTTTGTTTGTCATCTACCTCTCATTAATTCACCAACACATTGATAAATGCATAAAATTACCATTCACTATATATATATATATATATATATATATATATATATATATATATATATATATATATATATATATATATATATATATATATATATATATATAGCGTATAAACTGCTACTGAAGGGATAAAAATTTGACTATATTTTAATGAAACTGACCTATACAGTTTCTTAAACTCTGTGAAATGTTAATACGAATACCACTTACTTGAACTTGATTAACAGATATGTAGCGTTGTGCTCTTTGTTCATTCGGTATTAAACCAATATCACTAATATTTGGATAGACCTTCTTTGCCTATTAAATATTTAAATGAAATACTTACTAAAAATGTACTAAAGGGCTCCGAAAAGCAGTTTTTTACATTTCTAAGCTCATGCAAATAAATATAAGCAATGGTTCTTACTTCTTTGATTATAGGGTTATACTTGTTCTAAGGGGATAAAGATCATAGGAAAAAAAGACTATGGCAGTGGGAGGATTGAAACTAGGTGAATCTACCTTATCATTAAGGCCACCTGTTGATTTAATACAGATTTTCAAAACTTAATACTACTACCATTATTTGACGACATTTTTAGTTTCCCGTTGTTATATAGGGTTAAATTAACTGACCTCTGTTGACATATGGGCTCCTATACGGACGCTTGAATGTTGCCTGCATATTTATTGCTGTAATTGACTTGGTTGTGGCTACCAGTGGGATGCATGTGCCAACAGAGATCAATCAGCTGGATCCAGTATAACATAAGGGAATTACATGTATTAAAAACCAATAGTCATTAATAACAGCTGAACCTCGCTTAGTTTACTAACACACTAGTTTACTAGCCGGTCCTAAGTCCCCATAAAGAGGAGAAGATGGACATAGAGTTAGCAACCCTACCCCGTAAAACCAGTGCAATCGCTAAAGAAAATTCTAAGCACAAAGAAAATATAAAAAATAAAAATAAACTTATTCCTCACTGGAATCTGAGAGACGAAATGACGCCATTTGGTGAATACCTTCAGAAAGCCAACCAGCCGATGCGTCTTCTCTCAATCAAAGCTAAAGTAGACATGGGGACAAAGAATGTCCACACTATGTTCGAAACTGGCTGGCAAGGCTGCCCAGACTGCCAAAGGGAAGAGAAGGAATAGCATAGAAGTGCTCGGCTAAGAATCTGCCAGGAATCTCCAGATGGAATGAAAGTGGACTCTCTCAGCTGTCAGCCGAAGAGTTAATGACCTACTCCTATATTGTCATCCTGACGGCAACCGCGAGCACACTCAGTTTCGGAGTGGTTATCATGAAATCCCATTGAAAAGCATCGAAGGCTCTCTCTTATATAGCGGGAACCAATCTCTTCCTTTAGGATCAGGATAATGACAGCAAGACTCAAATCGAAAGGAAGGAAAGTCACAATCATACAATGCTACGCTACGCACCTACAAATAATGCGGATCAAGAGGAGAAGGAGGAATTCTATAGACAACTGCAATCAGTGCTGGACAAGACCCCAGTCCAGTTGGCGACATCAAAATGCTAATGAGTGGGGTGGCATCAATGCCAAACTGGGAGCGGACAACACAGAAAGAGAACTCATCATGGGTCTAGAGTCACCTAGTGAAATGATGAATGAGAATAGTGGAATTTTTACAGATTTCTGTCCATTTAATGACTTGGTGATTGGAGGCAGTGTGTACAAACACAAGGATATTCACAAAGCGACACGGATTTGATTTCACCAGACACCAGACACACTACACTAAAATCACATCGACTTCATCTCAATGTGAAGAAAGTGGATACTCAGTCAGCCAACTGGACAAAAGATCAGATCAAGAAGAGGAGAAGATGTCGGTGGTCCACACCACTCACTATCTAGTGCGAGCAACCTACCTTCAAAATCAAGTTGAAAGCCTTCAATTCAAGGAAGCTGATGACTGACCACAGTTGAAGTTGAACACTCACCCAGAACAGAAACTGAAGTGAAGTGAAGGACGAAACTGCAAAGGACATCTTCACGTCAGCCAGGCATCAGGACAAAATGGGAGACCTTAGACAACATCTGTGAGGAAACCTGTGTGGAAGAACACTGGAACTCTGTGAAGGCGACGTGGAAGGAAACCTGCATAAGCGTGTTAGGAAGGAGGAAGAAAGAAGACAAGACAATAAATGGATTTCGATGAACATATGGAAGCTGATAGTGGAGGGAGAGGAAGATGGTGATGGTGGAGTAGAAGATGAACCAGTGCAGAGAGGAACAACGAGAGGGGGAGGTGAATACAACATCTAAAACACTACACTGGACAAAGAAGTGAAGGAGAGTGTGTGCAAAGACAAAAGACACTTCTACGACACACTTGTGAGTGAAGGAGAACAGGCTGCAGATGGGAGACTTGAAAACATTATATCAAGTAACCAAAATACTATCTGGAGAGAGATCAATACAGATGGAACCAACGAGAGATAGTGAAGGAAATCCAGTTGACACCAAAGAGAAGAAACAAAGGAAACGATGAACTGACTACTTCAAATTGAGTCGTTTTAACTACAGGTGGCTGCACAGATGAGGATGTCAAATCAAGAATCGAAAAAGCAAGGTAGGACTTCGTTAACCTGGAACCAGTGTGAAGATATACTGCACTCAGCATAAAGCGTAAATAAGATCAAGATTTTCAACACTAATTCAGTCAAGCCAGTGCTTCTATGCGGTTCAGAAACTTTGCGCGTCACGAAAAGCATTTCCAACAAACTGCAGACATTCATCAACAGCTGCCACATACGCTGACTCAATACTAAAGACCAGATCAGAAGGCCAGAAAGAATAAGCAACAAGGAACTCTAGCCGGACAGTGAACCACCCAAGAACCCATCACCCAACAAATACGCAGAAGAAAGTGGAGATGGATTGGATTGGACATACACTGTGAAGACCGTTTGGGGACACCACGCGTCAGGCCAGGTCGTCAAGTGGAACCCTCATGGGAAACGTCAAGTTGGGTGTCTGAGCATAGGGTGAAACGAGAGGTTGTGGGCAGTCATGAAGACAGGTCGAGGAGACTGCAGAGAAGAGAGTGAAATGAAGACGTGCTGCTGAAGCCCTGTGTTCCACTAGGAATCCAAGGAATAAATAATAATAATAATAATGCTGGTTGTAGAAGATGTGGCTATCGTGCTTAATTGGCCTGTTAGGTAACTTCTTGGCTCTTGAAGCGATGGGTGCGGAGTTCGATTCTCAGTGGAAAAAACATCACACTCTGGGTGCTGATTAGTCCCAAATAGGACTAAATGCGTATCGTAGAGCCCATCGCTAGCTACAAACATGTCAGTTTTAAGAACTACTATTGTTTTAACTTAGACCCTGATGGTGTATACGACTGAACCTCGTCATTATGTTGGTGAACTATACGAAAGATGACACTTGCTGAAAGCTATTTACCATACTGTTGGAACATTTATTAACCTCACTTTTTTGTGGTACAGAAGAATTCAACGAACTTGCAATGGATTAAATAAAGCTTATGAAAACAGTTATTCAACGTTGGGATGCTTTTTGGCTACTTAAAATATCCTGAAGTACTAACTACGTTTAAATTGAACTTAATACGCTGTTCACATCATGATGAAAACACTAAGTGATTGCTGAATGCATTAATATTAAGGTTGAATGCAGGAATTGATAGATTCACTCCACATCTGTTGGTTTGATTTATTCAATAAATGATGACCTATTAAACCTGAATGAATAGCTTTTGAAAGATATATATACTGATCAACGGATTCTCTGATAACGGTATAAATTATTGCTATATATGTGAAAACACACTACGCGAAATTACAGTCAGTAATTAGTGATCAGACCGAAATCCATGGTTCTGTAGTTGAAATGATGAGTACCCATTCTGCTAGACTGTCAAACTCCACCTCCAGTCATCCAACCGTTCTCTCCAAAGTCTGCTTCCAATCCAAGCGTTCAAAGCTGTCATAAGCTGCTTTCTCTCGACCTCTCAGCAGTGCACCGAGCACCACGACCTTCGCTCCTGGATCCTGAGCACACACCAACTCCGTGACTGACTCGAAATCGCTGGGGAGAAAACCTTGATGTCTCCACCCTCAAACACTATGGGCCTTGAAATTTTTATCACCCCCAGAAGCAGAGGCACCAATCGGAGAAAATGGCAAAGGATGAAATGCCAAAGGTTCCTTTATTATGACGCTTTGTACAATGCTGATAAAATATTATAACCTTTCCACTGAAATATCCATTTGATACGTACACGTCATCTTTTGCTGTTCTCCGCGCGGAACGTTTACCATCGCTTGTGATTCAATATGACTTCCTCCGACCTTTCAATATATACTACTTATGTAAATTCTTATCAGTAGCACCAACAACACTGATACAGTTTCAATGATAGGATTTTATTGTATTTCTGGTAACAAAGGTTAAATGCAAATTGAATCAGTTAGAATCTCAAAAAAAGGAAAAATCTCCTTCGTTCAGTTAAATGAATACACGAAGCTTGCACCTTTCAATTTCTTACAAATGAATGAAACCGAATGAAGAAATGCATAACTGCCTAATTAGCCTTATCATAGAAATTGTAACAAAAACAGAACAAAGGTACGCCATTAACAAGAATTTAACTTACCAACCAACTTCCAAGCGCATCATCAACTAGTGTATTGTGTACATGAAAGATATCACCTTTTAATATATTTAAACCTGAATATTTAGTGGATGATATTAATGCTGATGAGCCAGACACATATTGATTCATATTAAAATACGCTCTGATATAAAAACTTTCATAGGGATTTTCGCTTTCAAGTAATTTACGATATGATAATGGATCATGAAGTAATTCAAGTATCATTTTGTTTTCATTGGCCATAAGCGACAAGAAAACTTCTTCTTTAGTCCATCCCTTTAGGTCATTCCCATTCAACTCAAATAGGAATAAAAAAAAGAGATTAAATAAGAAGGTTTTTAATAGAAGTATTAGCACGATACTTCAAAGAATTAATTTTAGGTCAATGGCAAATCACGATCAGTTCATCAAACACTTCACTGAACTAATCACAGTGATATCGGTGGATGAGTTACAGATATGAAAATGTCTATGAATTTGAGTTCATGAATTTAACATATTCCACTTTTCTAAAGTAACTAGTTACCACCTGAAAACGACAGTTCGTCATGATTTGATTGAGATAGCTTTGTATTCCCTCTGATTTTGGAAAGTTTTTCTAACAGTAGGTCGTCTTAACAATGATATTTTTTGATTTTTTCGAGTATTAAAATTGAGAAACCAAAACTTTTGTATTTAGTAGATATCAGACAACATTTTATGCTTCCGAAAACATTGTTTCCATGGAACAAACTCAAAGCGTATTGATTGAGAAGAAGCTTTAGCCCTTTTGAAAATGCTAGCTACCATGAAGTTTCTTCATTCTTGTCAAAAAGCCTGAAATAAAATACTGGAAGGTGAACTTACAGTTTGCTGGATCAATTCCTCTTTGAACCATATTCACAGGTAAGTTAACATATATATTTCGTTTCCGTGTTGAATTTTTAAGTGCAGTGACTATCACAGGTGTCTCTAGAGATTATCAGAGTAACAGTCACAGTTATAGCTGGTCAGATAGACCTAACTAAACCATCCAATGAACATCCGGTTAACCTGACATTATGGTAAGGTGAAGATGCTGCGTTTATCTAGTCATCAACTAATTATCAACCTTTTGCCAAACAAAATATAAGTAAGAAAACCTCTGTAATATAAAAAAGCTCAAGATGTGAAAATGAATGAATATTTCACCACCTCTCCTTTCCATACCTGAAGACTGAATTATTGTCAACAAGAGGAATAAAAAAGACAGGCAGAGACAGAATCAAAGTGAAATGTTGCACACAAGTGCTTCGACTCAAGTTGCGACGATTCACATTAGCATACAAAGAACTTGTGGATAGAAAGAGAGTGATACCAAAGTTGTGTGAGAGAATACACAGCTTGGAGAATATACCAGATTTAGATGTAAAAGAGTGAGTGCATCTGCGTTATTATGACCTGTTTTTAGCCATGTCACCAAAAGTCCTCAACTGCTGATTTCTATAATTTCGGGGACCACACCCAGGCAGTGTACGTTTCCTCACATACCTTGTTGCATAGAAGGGTTATTAGACCTTAAATATCTAAGTGTTCTGAAATACTATCAGCATCATTCACGGTTTACAATGGTTAAAAATAAACTTCTATATGTTGACTAGTTTTAAGAATTGAGCACGATTTTCATAAAATATACATCAAGTTCACTGAAATTAGCAACCATGATATAATTGCCATGTAGATGAAATCTGAACTATTTCAGAACCAAGAAATGGCACTTTCTGTATTTCAGACTGGGTTATTGAGAAAAAACCATTACCAAGTGGAGTATTTAACCTCGCCTGGTTAACTAGTTTACTAGTTACTAGCCGGTCCTAAGCCCGGGTAAAGAGGGAAGGTTGGGCATAGGGCTAGCAACCCTACCCCGTAAAACAAATCTAACCGCTAAAGAAACTTCAAAGCACAAACAAAATATAAAAAATGAAAACAAACTTATTCCCCGCTGGAATCGGAGAGGCGAAATGACGCCAGTTGGTGAAAGCCTTCGGGAAGCCAATTGGCCGATGTGTCTTCTCTCGATGAAAGCGAAAGTAAACGTGGGGACATGGAATGTCCGCACGATGTTTGAACCCAGTAAGGCAGCCCAGATTGCAAAGGAGATGAGAAGGTATAACATCGAAGTGCTTGGGATTTGCGAAAGCAGATGGAATGGGAGTGGACTCTCCAAACTGTCAACGGGAGAATCAATAATCTACTCCGGTCACCCAGACGCCAACCACGAGCACACTGAGGGAGTGGCTATCATGATGTCCTCAAGAGCATCGAAGGCTCTCATGCAGTGGGAACCAATCTCCTCCAGGATCATGTCAGCAAGATTCAACTCAAAAGGAAGAAAGGTCACAATCATACAATGTTATGCACCTACAAATAATGCAGAGCAAGAGAAAAAGGAGGAATTCTACAGACAACTTCAGTCAACACTGGACAAGACGTCAGTTGGCGATATCAAAATTCTAATGGGCGACATGAATGCCAAACTGGGAGGGGACAACACGGGAAGAGAACTAACCATGGGTCGAGAGGCGCTAGGTGAAATGAATGAGAATGGAGAATTGTTTGCAGAATTCTGTGCATTCAACGATTTGGTGATTGGAGGCAGTGTGTTCAGGCACAAGGATATCCACAAAGCGACATGGATTTCACCAGATGGACACACTAAAAACCAAATCGACTTTATCTCAATCTCAAGAAAATGGAGACGCAGTCTACTTAACACAAGGTCAAGAAGAGGAGCAGATGTAGGTTCAGACCACTATCTAGTGCAAGGAACCTTCGAAATCAAGTTAAAAGCCTTCAAGGAAGCTGGTGATAGACCTCAATTCAAGTACAACACTCGGAAACTGAAGGATGAAACTACAAAGGAGATCTTCAAAGCAGCCATCAAGACAAAATGGGAGACGTCGAGGGACATCCCTGAAGAAACCTGTGTAGAAGAACACTGGAAGTCTTTGAAAGCTATGTGGAAAGAAACCTGCACAACAGTATTAGGAAGGAAGAAGAAAGAAGACAAGGAATGGATCTCGACGGATACCTGGAAGCTGATAGAGGAGAGGAGGATGGTGAAGCAGAAGATAAACCAGTGCAAGGATGCTCAACGACAAGAGGAACTGAGCACAATGTATAAAACACTGGATAAAGAAGTGAAGAAGAGTGCACGCAAAGACAAACGACACTTCTACGACACACTGGCAAGTGAAGCAGAACAGGCTGCAGGTAAGAGAGACCTGACGACATTGTATCAAATAACCAGGTTGCTATCAGGGAAGAGACCAACACAGATGAAACCAATAAAAGATGAAGAAGGAAATTTAATTACAAAAGAAGAGAAACAGAGGAAACGATGGGCCGACCACTTCAAGAAGCTCTTGAATCGACCACCACCTGCACTTCGTCCAGAAATACCACCTGCAGCCGCTGAATTACAAGTGAACATAAATCCCCCAACGAAAATGGAAGTCCTGAACGCCATAAAGCTACTGAAATGCGGGAAAGCAGCAGGACCAGATGGAATACCGCCAGAAGCACTGAGAACAGATGCAGAGACAACAGCGGACATGCTCACACCACTATTGCAGAAGGTGTGGAGGGAAGAGAAGGTACCTGACGATTGGAAGAAGGGTTACCTTGTCAAACTGCCGAAGAAGGGAGACCTCAGTGCTTGCAAGAACTGGCGAGGAATCACTCTCCTATCCACCCCAAGTAAAATATTAAGCCGCATCATCCTGGAGAGGCTTAAAGACGCACTGGATTCAAAACTGCGACCGGAACAGGCAGGCTTCAGGAAGTACAAATCATGTGCTGACCAAATTGCAACGCTTCGTATCATCATAGAACAGAGCGTAGAATGGCAATCAGCTCTATACCTCAACTTCATCGACTTTGAGAAGGCCTTTGACAGCGTCGACCGAGAAGTAATTTGGAAACTGCTTCAATACTACGGAGTACCGCAAACCTTTATCCGCCTCATTCAACAACTATATGAAGATGCCACATGCCAAGTAATCCACAATGGGAAGCTCAGTGATGCCTTTGAAGTGAAGACAGGAGTGAAACAAGGTTGCCTACTATCCCCCATGATATTCCTAATTGTGGTGGACTGGATCATGCAGCAAACAGTAGGCAGCGAGAAGAGGGGGATACACTGGACGACGGAAAAGAACCTAGAAGACTTGGATTTCGCCGATGACTTATGCCTAATGTCACATAAACTTGAAGATCTGCAGGCAAAAACTAACAAGTTGACAGAGGAGGCAGCTAAGACGGGACTTCAGGTGAATATAGAGAAGACAGAAGTGATGAAGATACCGCACCACCACCATCAACAACAACAACAAACTCCAATCACCGTCAACGGTAGAAACTTGAAGGAAGTAACCTCCTTCACTTATCTAGGAAGCACTGTTTCAACTACAGGCGGGACGGACGAGGACGTCAAAGTCAGAATCGGAAAAGCAAGACAGGCATTCATTAGCCTGAAACCAGTGTGGAGATCTTCTGCACTCAGCATGCGGAACAAGATACGGATTTTCAACACCAACGTCAAGTCAGTGCTCTTGTATGGCTCAGAGACTTGGCGCGTCACGAAAGGCATTTCCAATAAACTACAGACATTCATCAACAACTGCTTACGCTCGCTGCTGAAGATCAGATGGCCAGAAAAAATAAGCAACAAGGAACTCTGGGAACGAACCAACCAAGAACCTATCACGCAACAAATATGCAGGAAGAAGTGGAGATGGATTGGGCATACACTGAGAAGGCCGACTGAGGACATCACGCGTCAGGCCCTCGAGTGGAATCCCCATGGGAAGCGACGAGTTGGACGTCCGAGGGTGACATGGAGGAGGTCGTGCGAGGAGGAAATGAGAGCTTCTGGGCTGTCGTGGAACCAGGTTCAAAAGATCTCAGAGAACAGAGGTCACTGGAGGCGTGCTACTGAAGCCCTATGTTCCACTAGGAACCCAAGGGACTAATAATAAAATAATAATAATAATAAGTGGAGTATTTGATGCTCTGATGTAAGTTGTTTGATGGTCACTATTAGTGGAATCCTGCACGTGTTTCACCCAATTTGAGATTCGTCAGTTCAGTCTACCTGCGTCCAAGTGTGTGATTGCTTTCTTAATGCGAAATAACAAGTAACAGTCATCATCATCTGAAACTTCGTTAATTTGGGCCCATGGATTCAACCAGAAATCAGAAAAATAGTTCAAAGCAAGTACATGGTTTGAGTACAGTTTTACTTCAGTTATGTCTCTTTTTCTCTTGATTCGAAAGTAATCAGGAAATAACTCAGCATTTGCTGAGTAGCTCATCTAGAGGAAGTAACACGAAGCTGTATGGAAGTCATCAACTAAAAACATGCTTCATATTCAGCGTGAAGTATTGAATAAGTGAAGCTTGTCAATATGACTAGTTTCCTTACGCATAGAATTCGCTGAATAAAGTAATGTGAAGTACAGTTTTCTTCGGACAACATTCATTATCCATAACTTACATTTCAAGTCAGTAATTCATGTTTTATAAAAATTAGTCGACAAACATTTCTGTCACAATGTACAAAAATAAAGTTATAGATTCGAGAACGATGTATCTTCGTCTTGCTAGATACTTGCAGAAGAAAACTTAAGAAGACTACACGTTTAAAATGTTCAAATATTTTCGAAAGATGGGTGAAAGCCTGGATCACTTCTGTATTTTCATCTACTTCAGTCTGCAACTTCACCAACTTAATCACTATTCCCAAAAAAAACTAAGGTAAGAGATACTCATGGTATTTAAAACAGACAGTCAAATAATGAATACTAAAGGGAATTTTGTGTCTCAGTTTGTTAGGTATTATTAAGAACATCATGAAACTAATAATAATAATGATAATCAGAATAAGATATTCATAAAAGAACATGATTATTATAAATAATATAGCTTAGAAACCACAGGAAGTTCCATCTGTTGGAGAATGAATCAGCCGTACCTTGCATTGACCACTAATGACAACAGGTGGTCACAGTGACATAAGCAAAAGAAGTGTATTTCAAATCAGTGACCTGTCGCCTTAAATTAACTCTCCGAAACAGTGGATTACAGTTCAATTGAGAAAATAAATTTCTTTCTGTGTTTGTAATACATACATTTTCTAAATAATTATCAATTAAAGACCACAAATCCAGTTTCTGAATATTAAATTTAATGTTACTGCTTGTATTATCCCGTCGTAGAGTGAACCGAATTGATAGGTTTCCATTGGTACATGGGTTCCTGTGCGGATGCCTCGACATTGCTTGTGTTCCAATCATATGTTAATCATGGATAGTGGCTTGAAGTGGAATCCGGGACGTGCATTTCATCGCATTTGGGATTCGTCAGCTGGATGTATCTACTTCCAGTATGCGATGTTGTTCCCACTCCGACTCTAGCTCGGAACCAGTCGCTTCAAACGCCATAGCGTTATCCACTGTACCACCGAGTCACGATAGCCACTTCCTGTCCCATGGGAAAAGTTTTAATGTTGTTGCCAGTGTTAATAATACAATATAAATGCCCATAGTTGAAGTACGTCTGGATCATTAAGATTAACACTTACTTTTATTAGTTTATCTCCTTCACCAACACCAGCTTGATCAGCTACGGAATCGGGTATCACTTTGTTCACATATATGCCTGTTGTATTACCTCCAATCAACACCAAACCAACTTCACCTTTACTGTTATTAAGTTGAAGTGTTACTTTCCTTGTTTTAGGTGAATTCATTGAACCCAATGGTTGTTTCTTATTATTTCCAATAGAATTCAAGCAGTTATGTTCATTTAAATCTGGCAATTGACTGCCTGATTTTTTCAAACAGATTAGATTAGGATTTGACTTATAAAGTGAAACATTGTTATGGTGCATGTTGTATTTACACTGGTTTCCACAGGTGATGGGAATATTATCTTGAGAGTGGGTTAAAACAGTCGGACTTTTGACATAAGTATTATCGCAGATACAAGTTTTATTATCAAAGCCTATAGTTTGTGAGTTGAAGACCGAAAGTTTTAATAAAACAGTTAATACAATCAAAGACATTTACATATTCATAATCCATTAGGTTATGTATGAAGACGTTACTGATTTCTGACTAAGTAGAATGGTTATCTAAAGTTTGTAAAGGACTTTACAGTCTTTGAAACAAGCTAAGTAACCAGCAGATACACTAACCACTTTTAGATGAGGACTAAGTCGATTCATAAGACGAACTTGCCAACATCACTAGATTCAGTTTTGAAGTTCTATTGTAAGACAATAAGTAAACAACCCAAAATGTTGCTTTTTAACCGCACATAAATTAGAAGTCGTGCAGTGGGAGAAACATTCATATGATAGCTAATTTTTCCAGTACTTTGCAAAAATCACAAACATCTGGTAACGAGCATTCTGAAATATAGTGGGTATAATCCTTCTTTTCAACTGCACATTCACTGGGTTTCAAACAGAAGTTAATACTTCATATTTCTGTCACCTAATCAATCAGTGAGTATTCGCTATATCAGTTACACAATACTTTATGAGTGCACCAGATATCTTGAAACCACCTAAGTAAGTCCAAGAAGAATTATTTGAAACATAAGGTGATCTTTTCCATTTCCAAAATGCTTAGACTTCTGAAAGGGTAGCCAGTTCTCAAAACCCTTGACTGTCTTTACATAGCATATCGTGAAATGGTTTCTTCGAAAGCTAAAAAAAAGAATTTACGATTCCGATGTCCATATACATGTTTACTGAAGTAGTCCGTCAGTCACATTCTCTTGAGAGACATATTTAGGCTGGGTCAAGTGAACTACAAGTGTATAATAAACACATGCTACTGCCTCTACTTAGTGGAATATCATAACTCTATTTCATGCAATACTACTTGGTTTTTCTTGAATAAGTGCTTCAAACAAAAATGGAATCAGTGTAACTGGGAAAAACGTCTGAAAAATAAGAATTACTCTATCTGATAAACGCCTACACTTTCAAACGTTAACAATAAAACGAAATGAATGGAGTCTGGAAAATCATCGTTCATAATTAAATCGAGTTGTTAGATGATAGGCCACTTATGAAACAACATCGTTTTATTCAGTTTACTTATGACAAATAACACTCACTTACCGCCTACTACAAACCGCCTACCGCCTACAACAAACTCCAATCACCATCAACGGGAGAAACTTAAAGGAAGTAACCTCCTTCACCTATCTAGGAAGCACTGTCTCAACTACAGGCGGCGGTGGCACAGACGAGGATGTCAAAGTCAGAATCGGAAAAGCAAGACAGGCGTTCATTAGCCTGAAACCAGTGTGGAGATCTTCTGCAATCAGCATGTGGAATAAGATACGGATTTTCAACACCAACTCCAGTCAAGTCAGTGCTTCTGTATGGTTCAGAGTCTTGGCGCGTCACGAAAGGGATTTCCAATAAACTACAGACATTCATCAACAACTGCCACCTACGCTGGCTCGCTACTGAAGATCAGATGAATTGCCAGAAAGAATAAGCAACAAGGAGCTCTGGGAACGAACCAACCAAGAACCTATCACGCAACAAATATGCAGGAGGAAGTGGAGATGGATTGGGCATGCACTGAGAAGGCCGACTGAGGGCATCACGCGTCAGGCCAGGTACTCGAGTGGAATCCCCATGGGAAGCGACGAGTTGGACGTCCGTGGTGTGGGTGACATGGAGGAGGTCGTGCGAGGAGGAAATGAGAGGTTGTGGGCTGTCGTGGAACCAGGTTCAAAAGATCTCAGAGAACAGAGGTGACTGGAGACGTGCTACTGAAGCGGTATGTTCCACTAGGAACCCAAGGGACTAATAATAATACCGCCTACTATAAAAGAGGCTGTTTAGGTGATACAAATTAGAGGAAAAAAATGGTCAGAGACAAAGTCACTACCTTTGTATACTAAAGGTCGATTTGTTTATTTTGCAGTCCACAGAAATAGTAACTTATATTGCTACTAAAAATATGAAGGTGTTAGTCTTATTTCAGATTTGTTTAGCAATGTCCATCACTTTGGTTAACGACAAACTGCTCTTTAGCTGGCTTTCGGAAAGCAAACGTTTAAACATACACCATTGTAGCGTTTTAATATTCAGCCTATTTACTGCAGTATATTCTTTTGTTTGAAAGACTTTAACTCAGTGTTGGCTGCACCATCTCAGTGTCACTTACGTTAGAAAACACATCAAAGGTCAGGTGTAGTTTAGGCATACTCTTAAGGTAATCCATACTATCAAAAACACTAGAGAAAATATTAATATTACTTAGGTTGAGAATGCAAATTCACAAAATCTCAGATATATAAATTCTAGCTTTTTCCTCGACTGATCCTCATTCAGGTGGTAACGTAATACTAAGAAACCTAAAACGTTTGTTTTCATGGAAATATAAGAAGCCCTTTATGTGGTCATCACAGTTTTTCAGTCACCATTCCAGTAGCTTCCCCCTTTTTTGAAAATACTTGTTCTTAAGTTGGTATTCATTATGGAATGATATTAGTTGGAAGAACATTAAAAAGTTGAGAGCACTAGGCAGCTGTCTCATCCTAGTATGGGGCTCCTTAGCAGTGTGTACCCATGAAACCAGTAAGTCTTCACAAAATCTCAAACTGAATTAACCTAGTGAGCATTGATGATTAGCTTCGAGAGGTGATTTCTGAAGTTCCAATGAGTAGTCTTGACTGGTGAGGCAAACCTGATGGACGTGAGGACAAATGAGCGACGCTGACATTAGGTGATGGTCGCGCTATGTCGTGAACTGACAGAAGTTGGAAACATGGGACACTGGATTCGAATTCAATGGCTCAATGGTAAAGTGGTGACCACGGAACCTGAAGGTCCTAAGTTCGCTCCTGGTGGGTTCATGGGTACGCACTGCTGAAGAGTCCCATACTAGGATGATGAATGCCAACTTGAAATCAATAAATTCCCACAATCCCCTAAACTGACACACTTGTTCCACCAATTACTCAATTGTGATTGTCAGTTTAAAGAATTAAAATTTCGAATATTTATGGTGATCAAACTACGAAGTAAGGTATAACGATCAAATATCAAAGCATTTCATTTACCTTCGTAACTTCTATGGTGCTTTCCCAAATTCTGATAGACGTGATTTTCTCTCTGATACGCTTGTTCAAACTGTCTCTCCCCTACTTGATATTCGAAAGTATTTTCTGGATGCATTATTGGCTGAGGTAATGGATACTGTTTGTTATAATCAGTTAACTGATGAGCGACCAAACCAGAAAGATCAGCAGGAACACTCGACGAATTTATTAGAGGTGGTGTATTCATATAATTGTTAGGTACATTTTGTTTAAAACAAGGCTCTCTGGCCACCAAAAGTACGGTTTCCTGACGACGTAACATATTAGCGGTATCAATCAGACTCAGATGAGCAGCATTAATCCCGTTAAGTGTTACAATCCGATCACCACATTTTAAACCAGCTTGAGCCCCCATGCTCCCTTTATCTACAGAAGCCACTATCAAGCGACTCAAAAGTTCTACACCCAAACCTGATATTTAACACAAAGATGTGCACATAAAAGAGAAAACATGAGGTTTTGACATGCAGGATAATTGAATGAGTACAAATAATTCAACATATCACAATTTAAATATGACATTTACGTATCATCCATATCATTCAACTGAAAACTTAAGTCGTGAACTTCTAAAACGGCTGTACATGACCACTCATAGTCAGATGTCCCGTAGGCTAAACGGTCACTCAATAACCCTTCTTTTTCGGGTATCTCAAGGAGAACTAGACTTCCACAATATGGGTAGAATGCAAGTGTCAACCTCCTATACACTTTCAGTAGCATACAAAAGGCAATGATGCATAAATTATCCCCTCAATCTTTGTCTCACCCACTGCCTGCACTTGATACCAGTATCAGATCTCTTAAAACCACCTCAAATTCTCACTGTGCAGTCAGACAAGGCAGTGAAACACAATTCCTAGTCGCTTGTGACTATGATGTCAATTACACATTGGACCGTTCAATGTTCAAATCCTATGCTGAACAGAACACAAGGCATCTCTTGCTGGAACACTATTATCCCGATTTATGCTTTGTTTCTGCGACTGAAATTCAGGACCGCAATGTAGTTATTTAATTGATCTAACTTGACCAGTGTAGTGACTTCAAAATTCACTTTCCGAGTAAACAGACACCCAGTGGCTAGCTTTCATGAACTCACTAATGAAGCCATGAGATTTAGTTGTAGGGCAGTAAGTTCGTTTCTTGACTGGGAACCAGCAGAAAGCCGCCTCTGAGCTTCTCGATCGAACGGACCTCTAACAGATAGGAAGGATAGTGAAACTAAGTGATACCTATTCATAACCTGCGTTCACACACCCACCGACTGCAGTTAGCATTCTGCAAACGAGGAATTCCATCAAAAACTGTCAATTAGGAGGATTAAAATAAAACAGTAAGATATAGCCATAATATCAGGTGGATTCAGAATCCAAGAAAAGAAAACTGAGCCAATCGAAAAAAACGTCTTCAGAGTATTCACAGAGTCTCATGTCAATAAAACCGACAACGGTGATCGTCTATTAAAATGTTGTTCTGACAATCACTTGTTTATTGTCAACACTAACTTCCAGCATAAGATGTGACACTGTCTCACATGATATCCGCTGACATCCGACCAACGACGGGTGCAGATAGACCATATTACTATAAGCTATTGTTGGAGGGGATCGGTGGAGGATTATTGCCCCTTCTGCAGCACCTGTTTGGACTCCAATCAAGCGTTAATACGCCCACCTGTATGTCTGTGTCCTACTGGTGGAAGCAACAGGTGGCAGTGATGCCTGTTTGTGCTTGATTAAAAGATGCGAATGTGAGGTATATAATAAGAGAGGAGATAAATAGCCATCTATTTGAACTGAAGGTGACAGCGATCCTCATCCTGAAGAAACCTGGCATGACATTCAGTGTGCTGTTGAAGCAACGATAGACAGTTGGTAACCTGCATCCAGAGATTAGTAAACATCAATTCATTTCTGCAATGTCATCCAAAATGATTGATGCGAGAAAACTTCCCAGTTGACTGTGACCACAATGAGAAGTTAAAGAGGCTGAAACTTGACTAAGTTGACTAAGAGTGTTTGTACTGATTACGAGCAATAATAGGTCGCAAGAGTGAGAGAGATGGAGAAAACATCATGACTAGGTGAAACCCGAAAACGTTTTGGGCTCATCAAGGATATCTACAAAGATAAGGCTATGGTGAGCGAAAGCATCACTGAAAAGAATGGAATGATGATAGCCTTGTAGGAAAGATGGCTGGAGAGCTTGGTAGAACACTTAGAAGCGCAGCTCAACTGGTCCACAGGAACGTCTCAGTTGCCCAGCATCTGGACCACACTTGAATACGACAAAGATGTTGGTCCTTCAACTATCATGAAAGTTGAGAGGGCTTTTTTGAACCTGAAACGACTCGAGACAGCAGGATCTGATGGTTAGTCACTGGAAGCTTTCAAGAGTGGAGATAAGAAACTACTGGTTATGGTAACGGAGTTACTAGGTAGTGTATGAAAATAAGAGGTAGTCCCGCTACAATGACCTACTTCATTGAGCATTCTAGCCTATGAAAAGCGAGTGTAGTCTTCTTGTGACAACCATAAGGGAATCAATTTGATCAATATTGTGTCCAAGTTCCATGGTTGTCCGACACATGACTGGAGCTCGAGAATAACAAACTGGAGAAAACCAGACAGGTTTCAGATGTGGATGAGAGTGTATCGATCAAAATTTCATTCTTCGACAGGTCCTGGGACACGCATCCATGTAGGAGCTGCCATTCATGGAACCACATGCAGTTGCGCAGTAGGATGCGGTCGAATCATTCTGTCAAAAACGAACTTGATTATGTAAGACAAGTGCATAAGAGTCAGATAATTGTCTACTGAAGTAAGCCTGAACACTCTGATAAACAAATCTAATGAACAGGCTACTATTCAATTCAATAAATTTATTGTGGAGAAATTAAAGTTTACAGGTAGTTTACATGTACTCACGAAACTAATTATTTGACTAAAAGTAACAGTCTTTTATCTCCAAGCAAAAGATCCATTTCCAGAGTTCTCAGTTTACTGAAATGGTTTTAATTTGGAAGGCATTTATTCTTTAAAAGACATTACGATAAACTTCAAGAATATTTACAGTCATCTATGATCATTTTTTTATTTGTTACTTCAACGCAGAAACACGAAACTTGATTGGCAAAACATACTGTATTACTGAAGGAATGTGGTCAGTAATGAAGTCGGTTAGCATGATTTCAACACTTGTATGTACTAACAAACCTCAAACAATAGCTGCTGCTGACTAGTTTACCAAAATTGTATACTTTTGTCACCCTTACTACTGAAAATATACTTATGACATATCTTTGAAGGTGAAACATAGTTACAAGTAAAATTTAAGTGTTGTAAACATTTTTCTTTTGTAATTTCGCACTTTAACAGATAAAACTTTAAAATTAAGGAGCAATTTTAGTCTGTTTACTAGGATTATCATACAGTGAAACAGTATTTTATACTGGATAACATTTTAGATGCAATTTATTGGCCATTTTCATTTAAGGCAACTCCCCAACTTATAGACATAGTTTAGGTAATTCTAATCTTCTCTCCCTCTTTGTGATGGCAGGGGTAGTAGAATTTTCTATATATCTGGGACAAGTGTAAAATCATTTCTGTTGCATGTGTTGGGTTCGACAAACAACGAATCCGTTATCTGTCCCTCCCCCCACCTAATTAAGTTAGTTTTTAATAGTGTCATTCTATCCCACCCTACTGTGTGATTGTGTTTAATTGTGTGCATAGCTATAGCCGAACTTTTTCTAAATTTCTTATCATATTAGGATCTACTAGTGTTGATTTAGCTGAACTTTAGTGCTCTGTCATTCTACTCATTAACCCTAGTTGACTACTTGGACCTATGCATTTGACCTCGGATTCATTGCAAAGGATTTGGTAAACCAAATTATTTTGCCTAATTGGATCAGTAGGATTTTTTAATCTACAAAGCTAGTTTCTGAGCGAGTTCGGTGGCTTAAATGTCACTTTAATCCTAGTCTTATTGAGAATTTTTCGTAATGCTTCTGAGATGACTTCATTGCATGGTAATACTGCAGAGGCTTTGAATTCTCTCTCAACGCTGTTGTTATTGATAACACCCATATTACTACTACTACTACTGCTACTAGTACTACTACTACTACTACTACTAATACTACTACTACTACTACTACTTCCAATATCATTCCTTCTATTTCTTATAAGTTTATTTATAAATTTCGGCGGATAATTTTTGAGACGTAAGGTATTCTTGATGCGTCTAATTTCTTGTAGTGTATTTTCTGGTCTACAAGTAAGCTTTTTCGCCCCATCACTTAAGCATTTAACTAAGCCTACTTTAACAGATTGGGGTGGGGGATTCGAAGTGTGAGTGGCGACTCAAATAAGAAGGATTGCTAAAGATACTAGTCTCTAAAATTTCATCTTATTTTCGTTTAATCTCGCAATCCAATATTGCACCTTCATCACTTTCTAAGTAGTATGTGAATTGGATTGCATTCACCGGTGAATTTATGTGTATCAAGAACCTACTAACGTGTTCCAATTACTGAAACCTTAGTTACTTGTAAGAAAAGGCTGATAGCCAAATCTTTATTTATCGAATCAACACCCAACACATGCAACAGAAATGATTTTACACTTGTCCCAGATATATGGGAAATTCTACTACCCCTGCCATCACAAAGAGGGGGAGAAGATTAGAATTATATAAACTATGTCTACAAGTTGGGGAGTTGCCTTAAATGAAAATGGCCAATAAATTGCATCTAAAATGTTATCCAGTATAAAATACTGTTTCACTGTATGATAATCCTAATAAACAGACTAAAATGGAATTACGGTCTACCACAGAACCCAAGTCTTACTTCTAAACAGCAAGGGATGAATGTTTATGTTGGGCAGTAAAGGTAGTAGCAGTTTTGAAGCTGTAGCGCTTCCGAGGAACCTAATAGTGCCTGTGGTGTAATTCAATGACATTTTGAGAAGATGTTCCAATCGGACTTTAGGGTGAAAAATACAATAAGCCTAGAGAATTTAAAGTGAGAATATACTAACTCTATGACGGCAGTTATAAAGCTTATGCGTTTTTTCATAGAACAGTATTATAATTCACCATAGTCTTCTTGAGGTTAGAGGTTACGTTTGTCCTCTTCTTTTTTGATGCTTATTTTGCAATCTCCTGCACTAACTATGATTTAGGTCTCTTCTGTTTAAGATATTTTTCCTGCTCTCCAAAGTACACTGACTTAGCGACATATTTGCATCTCACGAGTTTTTCTTCCTTACTGAACTTAGCGTCACAAGTGATATACATCTCTTGAATTGATAATTTAGTTTTATCTTCGTTGACGAATAGTAAATGGTGGTTGGTGTTGGTTCCCGAAATTAGATTAAAACAGATATTCAAACTTATAAACATATTTATCGATTAATAATCAATCACCAATGTTAGGGAATGCAAGTTAAAACTTTTCTGGATGCCTAAGATTCCTGCACCTTATTATTTGAATATTTCTTTGGTGGGAATTATTCATTTTAATAGGTAGTAATGGTGAATCCTAGTAGAATGTAAGCCTCTGTCACTGCTTTGTACAGTTGAAATAATTGCCTACCATATTCCATTTGCTATAAAATCCGGAACGTTTAAACGTAATTTCAGTATCAGGATTTAGTAAGTCATATTTATAAAGAGAATCTCTCTCTAAGTGAATCCAGTTAAATTCTTTACTTAATTGTATTCACAAGTCCGTCAGTTACATCACATAACAAAGGGATAACGTATTCATTCAAGTGTTTTTAATCAGTCCCCTAAAGTTCTGGGAATGAATATCCATAGACTTCGATCAGCATTAGTAAACAGAACCTATCTGAATCAGCTACCATCCATGGACTGACTGGTGTACATAAAGATAATTAACTTTCGAAACACTCTCGAGTTAGATTACTTATTTGAACGCTCTGCCACACTAACATGAGTAGTAGCAATTAACTTATTTATTTGGAACTCAAAATTATAGATATAAATTAATGTTATGTTATGTTTAAAATTCATTCTTCAGTACCGAATTTCCTTACATAGGCTGTCGACCATATACGCTAAGGTTGAATTCATCAGTAATATTAGGTATCTGGCTTGCAAAATGAAAGACACCTCGGAATGTTTTAGTTATGGATACCCCATGAGCTTCGAAAGAAATTACACTTGAGTACTTTGTTCATATAAATGAAATTTTCATTAGATGATGCCGAAAGATAATCGTTTATAAATTTTGGGATACTATTATATTGTCAGATATGTTCCTATGTGGATGCCTTGATGCTGTCTGAATACTCACTATATTAATGTATGCTTGCTTGTCAGTGACTGGTACCCACTAGCCTAGTGGATAACATTTTAGCGTTTGAAGTGGTGTTAGTGGGTCACAGTCTGTGTAGGGACAACACTACTGACTGGAGTTCAGGTACATACAGCTAACAAGTCCAGAATAGGACGAAATGCGCATCCCAGATTCCCCCACTGGCCACCAAGTAGACATCAACATTGTTTTTCAATAATTTAGGCTCGTGAGATCCAGGTAACAAACTAACAACTTCCTTTTTAACGAGCCTCGCTTCCTAGTGCTTTTGTTTATCTAAACAAGTTTCTATTGTAGAACTGATTACAGTGCCCAGTATTCTGTGAGTACTTAGAAATCAGCAATTAAATAATTTGTGAATCGTTCATTATCACCTAAGAAAAGGTACTAAAAGGGTTTCTTTTAAGCTTACTTTGACTTTTATCGAAACAAAGCTTGATAATTCGTGAACAACAAACAAAATGCTCGAAACAAGTAAAAGTACAACAAAAAAGAAAGTTAAGCATAAATATAAAGTGACTACTTTCTCCAGCGTTTCTTCCTTTTAAATGTATTTCCACAAGGCGCGGGTGATCTTCCTTGATGGATTCCTTTGACTGATAACTTTTGTTCCATAGAGCAGTATCACTACAGTACTTTAATGCATTCGTACCATGATTCGAACAAACTGACTCAAAGAATTCTGGTTGAAAATATCTTCCTGACGACGAAAAGCTCCTTATAAAAGTCAAATACATAACACAATTGAATTCTACGAAACTTTTCCGAATGACACACTTAAACTTGATTTTAAACTACTTGTAAAAAAGTATTCAGATCTGTCGCGGGGAAGTATAGGCTTTTGTGGTCAAAAAATTCAGCTTAGCTGTCAGTAACACGTAATAATCTATGTCACAGGGTACAGTATTACCTGACTAACTGATCGATGGATTTTAGCAGGCAATCCAAATTGGAAAGCCTGATTGGCTACCATCCAGAGATTGACTCTTGAAGCAGGCTTATTTCCACAACGGAATAGTTGTAGCCTGAATGTTTTCTGGCAAATCCACCTGCTCTGTCAATAAGGTATGCTAGTATAGATTTACTAAGAGCCACTGGACCCTTTAGATCTTCAAATATGCCCTCGTAATACGTTCTTTCAAAAATAAGCTGAGGTCTGACACCTTTCGGTCACCTGTTATAGACATCAGTGACTACCTTTTTTATTTTCAGTAAATACACTTGACATTATTACTGCGTTAACCAGACTGTTATCGAATTATACTGTTACTCTACGTGCTACAGGTTCAACACTTGTCATTCTTTTTAAGTCTCTTAGTACAGCAGTTCCCTCTATAGTATTATATAGACTTAACTCTGTCTTGAAATAAGTTTGATTAAAAGAATGATTCCTAATAATTACTCACAAATCATCATTTAATTGACTTGTCGGGAAGAAATTATAGTCCATTCTTCTCAACCAACACGCAACAACTAAGACATCACATGGATGAATCTGTACTGCATAAGCAATATAAATTATTGTTCATGTCTCCCCTAAGATTATGTGATCTTGTTAGCTTCTTGCGTGTAAGTAATTAGGGCTAATTTTTTGATATTCAGTACACAACATCTTATCATTCAGTATTGTCCACTCATCTCTTTATATGCTCTTAAAAAGATGAATTTTACATCAGAAATTTAACATTTTAATACGCTATGAAAATGACAGGATTCTTGAAAAATAACAATTTACAATGTGGTGTTAATAACTACTAACTGCTTTTACAGTGCACCGACCGTTGCACATATTTGAAGCAATAGTTTCTAACCATCCTTCAGAACAATGTGAGTATTTGAGCAACGTTAGCCTTCTTATTAGTTTTCGATGAGAAATAATTTTTAACTTAGATAAAAATCTCAGCCTAAAAATACCGAAACTTAGTTTGCACCCATACTGACACATGACTTTGAAACTGCTAGACTGTAAAAAGTTACTTAAATTCACCGTAGACAGGTGAAGTATACAAAATAATTGATGCAACCGGCCACCATTCAATGCATTATTCTTCATGTCTATTTTGATCTAAGTGTGAAACTATACACATCAAGACTAGCTTTAGGTGAAAAAAGGTGATAACTGTAAAAACAGTGGAAAATAAGTCATAAAGACCTAAGTAAAGTACGAAGAGATAGATGGAAAGCAGTAATAAAAGAACCACAAATTCACAGTTGGTACCAAAGTGAAAAATTAAACCTTCAAACAATAAAATTCAGATTCATATTTGTCATTGAAAGATAGAAAGATGTGAGCCCGTATCAATACTTTTCAAGTTTGTCTCCATCCAAGTCCAGTCTTTTTTGAACAAGTAATTGATGATGCAGGCACCATTTCTTCGACTAGTTTGTTCCAGATGTTGATTTCTAGACGCGAAAATATTTTTGAAGATTGAGCTTAACATATCTGTGCATCTTTCGATAACATGCAAAAATATGATGAAAATGATCCATTTCTAGCCTTTTGCCAGTCTAAATAAGATGAAACATCACGTTTAGGAAGTCATATTATAATATGGCTCAGATATCAGTCTATCTGAGCACGCCTAAAGAGAATGTTCTTAGATTACGTTGTCAGTCTCACGAAGAAGAGCTTAACAATTATATTTTCAAATCTTCCAGTGGGATAAGCAACTGTTTCGTCAGTGTTTTTCTGTTTATTTAAATCATCCTGCACCAGCATGCATTTGATTTACTCCCCCTATGAGGTACATATCTCAGTTCCATTTTGTTTTCTGCTAATTGATGATCGAAACTACTTATTGGGAAAGATTTTCCGCTTCAAACATATGATTATAAGGGGGTGACTAGAGAGGAAATTGGCCGTGATTTTAACTTCAAAAACCAATATAATAGGGAAACTTCAATGTTGTTTCATTACATTTCTTTAACTGGTCACAGAAATGTAAATAAATAGCTTTTATGGGTTTCGCTCACAAATTGATTTTGCTTGGTATCACTTGCTAAGCAATTAGATGTCTAGATATCCAGTAAAAGATGACATTTTCATCACAAAAAAGCCATTGTCAATCACAGTAAAAATAGAAAGTCAACATTTTAATGTATAAAACAATGAGCAACTGGTTATAAATGTCGCTCCAATCAATGACTCACTTATGCTGAGTAGTACTTCCTTCCGTGAAATCAGGAATCGGAGCATGGTAGCTAGCATCCTTCTCACATCTTTTCAGCTGTAACTCAACTTCTTCACCACAGTCACGCAAAATCTGTATCGCTTCTGAGTACTTTAAACCTTCCAAACTAACACCGTTTACACCTATCAACTCATCATCTTTACTAGAACTTCATTCGCACGCCAACGCAGTAACCTACCCGACTCTGTTAAACGCAGGACCTCCATTTATAACATCTGAGATCATAAATTTTGTTGCATCAGTATGGGACAACCTTATACCAGATATACCCAAGCCAAGACCATAAACTGGTGATCTCGTTATGGTGGCTGAATAGTACGGTGAATCCCCATTTATCATACTTCGACTCATCACATTCTGCATGGCTTATACGAATTAGTGGAAATATTGATGTACGTGAACGATTTATTTTGCAAAATATGTGTATGAAAAGTTAACGCTATCAAATAATAACTATTAAAAATACAAGTGCTGAACGACCTCAAAGCTTATGTTTTTAAACAAATATCTGTTTCAAGAATTTAGGAGTAATAATAATAAGTTCATTTTGCTTGTAACAATCTTTGTAGTGCTATTCCGTTTAAATATCCCTTTTTTGAACACATTCACTGAAAAAGATGATAGTGCTGTTTATTTAACAAAATCTATATGCTTCATAAGTAAATCCAATATCTTTTTAGGAGCCTATATGAATCAGTCGATTCCTTTGCACTGTCTCATAAGTCTTGTAGGACGATTCGAGGTCTCTAGAGAATCCAAATGCAGTAGATCAACCAACTTGCCTACTGTGGTTCTAACTAACACAACGGGTGTTTGGGTATTGGTCAAATTCTCAGTGTTATATGATTTATCATAAGAAAACGATGATTTTCATAAGCTTCATAGGACTGACAAAAATTATTTTAATTCATTTTTTGTGCATATGAGTTTTCTATAAAACTTAGCCCACTCTAAAGCAAATGAAAATGTCTTTTAATAGTTGTACAACAGTTTTATCGATATTAGATTCCGATCTTGGGGTTCAGAGTTGGACAGTTTAGAATCTTTATTAGTTTTGCGACAACTCTTCGCACTCGCTGAGCCCTTTCTTGATGAGCTCACTTTTAATATGAACACTCCTTCCTCCAAGAGCCATATTTCAGTGTTCGTTGCCAGAGTCAGAAACCAAAAGTTTTCTGTAGTGACTTTCCTCCTCAAATTCTGCACTCTCCTGTTGCGGTTTGCAAAGCCTTATAACCTACTTCTGCGGGAAGGTGGGTCTAAATATCGATAAGATTTAAATTCTTCAATTGCAATCCTGCATAACAGGGTCAAGTCTTCCTTCTGTCCACTGTTTTGTAATAAATGAGGTTCAAATTCTGAAGGCGCCTCTCATAAGTTTGGTCAGTCGGCGCAGCTTCGATACAAGCGAACCTCGTCTGAATTCATTCTGGGTGACCAGAAGGGCTTTCCAAGTAAAGACTTCTCCTGTGTGCCCAATTTTCTGTATGGAATCTGATTTAAGCTTTAGGATTTGTCCTGGTGCGAACTTGACAGACGCAAAGACCAATCACTAATTATTCGGACTTGGTCTGTACCCACGAATGCGAGACCAAGGAAGATCACAATAGCGTAGTCGGACGGGATGGTATATTTGGATGGTTGTGCCGAAATACCGATGCGTTCCAACTAACTGGCTAGAGAGTCGAATGAGAGCAGTGAAACGTAACACGACAGCGTGCCAAATGGCGAGGATGCTTGACCGGGTGCCTTCAGCTTAGCGGGTCCAGTTAAACTATCAAGGTCAGCATCAACATCGAAGTCGTCAAACCCTAGACTATTGATTTTGGGGAAGTGTGTGACGCTACAAAGCTGTCAATAAGTTGGTGAACTCATCGACATTGGCTCTTTAGACAGAACTGGCAGGGTCCGAAGTAACGGAAAATTCGAAGCAGTTATGTTCTTCATTGCGCTCTGATCTATGACTGGTGACCGAGTGCCAACTATACGTCTTTTTGAAGTGGAACTTATGGTGAAGTAGTTCCACCGTTGTTGTGCTTCAGTCCTTGTGCACGAGATGCATGGCTTCCATTTCTCTCATTAGATTCATATAATGCTTGGCCTCGCCTGAAGTTTGCCAACATCTCAATTGTTTAGTTCTCACTACATTTTAGTGAGAGAATCTGGTGAGACAAATCAATTGAACTCAGTCACATGCAAACAAAGTGACTTGTAGGAGCATCTTCATTGATTTTATAACAGAAATCTAACCTCGGCCCATCGCCTTGCAGATACCTTCACCACACCAAACGCTGCACTGTTGACCCTGCGCAGCAGTCAAGGCATTGTTATGTCCATTCCATGGCTGGCTCGCTCCCCACACCTACCAACCCCTGCCACACGCACATTCTCTTCCCGAGACTGCCCGAATAGCTGAAACAGAAACACTTTTACCGTCTCCCGCGCCAGCTTTTGGATAAAATATGCCCCCAATTAGGCACGCAACAAACACTACGGACACCACTACTCATTAAAACACCAACCAAACTGGACCGCGAGGCAGACTAATCAAAGCACCGAGATGTCGATTCGGTAGCTGAACCAGAGGACACAAGAATAACAGAAAGCATCAAATGACTATCATGTCCACATATTCCTGTACCGAAAAAATTCCAAGCGTTATCTCTCAGCCCATCCCATGGTCAAACCTAAAATATACAATCCAACCGGTTGATGTTCATCCGCATCCCCTCAGTCTGGCAGTGAAGCAGCATGAGTCAGTCCATCGACACTCACAAGTATTTAATAACTGGCCTAACTTCGACAATACGTACCGTGTGTCTTGTCTCTGTAAAGCATGGGTCACATATCACATTTTTCGTGATATCTCCGTCTTCCGCTTCGTTATTCCTACCTCCTTCTGTAACTTCACCTTGTTCCAAATTGTCTGATCTCCAGGCAGTTGGTTTACACCAGCGCATCAAGTAAGTCTCGTAGCCACTACGCTCGACCAACCTATATCTGTGATGACTAGTCCACCTTCACGCAGCATTTTTGGGCTTCGGTTCTGGCTTTCCCATTCTTCACCTCTTCCCTCCTCATCCATCAGGTCACAGCGATTAGTTCTTTATGTGTGCGGGATCTCGGCGGTTGTGATTGTCAGCGTCTATCACGCCATCGGTACTCTACAAAGGAGGCATAAAGTACTGGGTCACTGCTGTACCATCCACTCCACCTTTGAAGATATTTGGTAGTTCAAACAATGCTGAATGGTTGTTGGTTTGGGACTGGGCTTGCTGTAATCTGCTGAACAACGATTTTGGCGTCTAGCTATTTTGTTCTTCACTGTCCGCGAAACGACAGTGCTCTATCTTTTCCCCACATGTATAACACATGAGAATGAAAAAGGAAGTCATGTGACGGTCGGAATTAGATAGGGAAAATATGATAAGAATACAAACGTACTGTTTCGAAAAGAAAACTCAATATGCAGTGGCCACTAAGTTTAGACAGAACACTTTCAGTAGCATCAATTTGCTGTTTTGTTAATTTGCTCGGTACTTTTTGCTAATGCTTGTAGAGTCAAGAATAAGTTGTTATTTGCATCATCCGTAGAAATTGTGTTTATCATGTGAAAATAAGCAACAGCCTGCGTGACATCATTCTCGTGATGACCCCCTCCTCTCAAAATAAACGGCCAACATTTCATTACACCCTCAAAAAGCGCTCATGTTTATAATTTCGCGGGCCGCAATCAACTTGCTAGTGCCAGGTGCTCGCAAAATAACTGACATAAATAAGCATTCTCGTATAGTGAAAATGGCTATATGTGAGGGATGTCAGTTTAGAGACCTCTTCAGGCTGATACGAGTTGAAATAATATGCAGTTTGTTTTCATATGCAACCAGTTACCGCATACACTTTTCTGACTGATACTGCAGTTATTGGGGAAAGGTAAGTATATCGACAAGTGAAGGAAGTGAATGTTAACTCCTTAAACGTTCAAGTAAGTTCTTAACATATCCTCTGTCTGTAGGATTCAAAAGCTGCAGACTACGCCCAGTGTCTGAAAAGTGCCTAACAGACGGTGAGAATGGCGGGTTCGACTGGCAATTGTTATAAACCGCTGCTTATTCATATAATTCAACCATCACCGCTCTTCACTTCGCCCCACTGGTCTCAAGGATCAAACTTGAGTAACGCGAAGATCGACACTTATGTGGTAGCAAATTCACGCTAATTCTTAGGCCAAGTAGTTATCATTCATTGCAAGGTAAATTTCAGGGTGACACAGATTCATACTTTTGGTACACTCTAGACTCCTCCAATAGGTCTTTCTGACGTCACTGAAGGTTTTCTAGATAATGTTGATTTTCTGTTATGCGGAGTGAAAACATGATAATATGTGTGGCTTTTGTGCTGCTATGGCCATTATTGGTTCATACCTTGAAAGACCCTGTGATTTCCGTAATTCTTTGGGCATTACCGGTGGCTCCATTTGCCACGAAACCGCGCATTGTGAAGCTGAGCAGCCTTGAGAGTTTATCTAGTGGTTGCTTCACGTTTTTCTGTGCTAGTTATTCCATATCTGGGCACATTTGGTAGGAAGGAAGTTTGGTCAAGCAGGTGTCTCATAATGCTCAAGTTTTGCTGTTGATTTCGAGTGTTTTATATTTTAAGCCGGATGTTTATACGTGTACCACAAGTCAGTCTATTAATCAGCATATAAGACTATAATCCTAGTAATTGCGGTTTTCAGTGTATACCTTGCCATCAAATCTCTAGGGTTAGGGTTGCATGAAACACAAGATCACCAGTGTAACATCCACCCAACCTCGAATATTCAGTTATTCATACAATGGTTGAATAATTCTTAATTTCTACCTGAACTCGCATGAGTTACAACAGAGAAGAGAATATTCGGCCCGAATTAATACCAAATAACAGGTAAGGGCAGTAGATGGCGCGCTGGTTTTCCCGCCCACCATTTAACATTACAGGAACGTGCCTGATTTGTAAGTTGGTATGAAGACAGTCGTCGGAATAAGCTATTAACTCGCTCTTTTTGGACAAGGTGGACCCAGATATAAAGCCATTGACAAGTGGCGAAAGCGTAGAATTAGAGTTTTAAGAAGTTCACGTGCATTAGATTTAATTCTTATATGTATGCATAGGCTGGTACTTGGATTTCAGTAGTTTAATTGGCTCATCCTGCCTGCAGGAATGGCGATGTATGTAAACAAACTCAATTATTTGGCTTCATTGCCGCACAATGTTTTGCACAAATGTGAATGCTGCAGAACCAAATCGCTGGTTTTTAAACCGATTTACGATGTTTTGGGAAGATAGAGAGATACATTTCTTGCTTCATGCTCTCAGACATTGGCTTAACAAGATCTAAGGCTACATTATGGTTAACTTTGAGTGTCTAGACTGAGACATTCGCACGATGACTGTTAGCTTCTGTGCTAGTTACATCACTTGCACATACACTAAATTGAACCTACACGTGGCCCAGGGATGACACTCAAGGCTGTGAACCGATCCGTAACTTTGCATCACACGGATAGACTAGCACTGTCAACCGTTCACTCGGAGTTGGCATTATTTATCTGGACTGCTCTTAAGCGTTTGGTTGTGTTGATCGCGATTGTCTTTTTGATGTACTGAGGGCATCTGAGATCGAGCCACCACTCATCGACTAGTTGTTTTGTATCTGAACGGCCCTTCACTTAAAGTTTGACTAAGTTTCCTACATGTAAAGGGACAGAATGCTGACTTGCAGGTCTTAAGAGCTCGGTATCCGGGCCTCTCTGTTTTCTCAAATCAACAAAAGATTTGTCCCAGCGGGTTTCTTTGATTTTTGTGGATGACGCAACATTGCGGAGGGAAATCACGACTCAGGAAAGTGGTGCCTCCCCATAGCAAAGTCTAGTCAGAATTCGAAACTCGGTATTCAACGACGGATTCGCGCTCGACTCTAAAACTTACTAAACTATACATCTAAAACACGACTCATATTATGTACACTGTCCAGATGATATAGGCCTGGAAGAGCTGCGCATGGAGAAGGATTTATAGTGTCAGGTCCTCAGGCCTGGGATCTAATGTCGGCTGAGATGCAACACGTTTCTCGGAAACTTGGCCCTGGTAACTCTGAGACAAATTCCCGGACAATTCGATTGCAGATGTCTTCAGCAAAATTTTGAGCAGCTTCATGTGGTCCCACCTGGAGTTCGGGACTATAGCCTTCCCCTTACCTGCGAAAGTTAATTTCAGCCTACTAAGTACTCGTGGAGGTTGACCAGGTATCTTTGAGGACTTACGGTCAAAACATCTGAGGGGCGAAAGTGAATGGCACCCTCCGTAATCTAACCCTACTGTGAGGTTTCTGGTTAAATTTCGAAAGCTTCTACTTGGATTGAGAAGGAATATAGCGTGTATGATCTGATCATGATCACATCCCCTCAAATCTTCATGTATTGAACAGGATGCAGCTCACGATCAAGTATGCGATCCAGGTGAGGTTATTTTGCGTGAGGCGATAACCCTTTTCTCCCAGCTCTTTTATGAGCCGGTTACAGGGTGGCAGTTTCTTCCCTAAGATATTGGGGTATGACCAGCCAGCCTACCTCCAGATGGAAACGAATATATTGTCTATGTGCCATAGTAAAAGGCTCGAACTTAGACTTCTTGCAATTTGAGAGATAAATCGTGGGACTGCGTATGCGTTTTCCGCAGTCTGGCGACAATATGAACAAGCTATAAGTGTACCACTGAGACCAATCCCCAGAGCTTTAACAACTTTTTAGGGAGAGATATTTATTTCCTAGAGGCGGTAATGACCAGAATTACAAGTATACCTGTTTCCCTCATTTTGACGTAGGTCTTCTTCTTTGTCTACTTATAGACCATCACTTTGTGATCTACTGCCTCTAGAAGCGAAAGTCTTCTTCGCTGGCCTTACAAACCACTTAAAACCAGTTGCAGGAATTGAAACTTCTTTGAAACCGGTTAGACACGATTCAACCTTCTAACCTGGAAGTGAAATGGCTTTACTGTGATATATGAAGATTTTTAATTGATATATTAGTCCTCTTGCCACCGGTCAACAATAAAAGCTGCCTTAAGTTCAGAGGACATATTTGTTTCAGTGTTCTATGTCTGGGTTATATTTCGTTAACTCACCCTGTAGAGCTTAGTTTGATTCGAAAGCAGGTGAGCTTGAGATTATTTTCTTTTGGGTTCATTGTATTTCGTTGATTTCCACAATAGGGATGTTTAAATTTTTTGAGTCACTGCTACACGAAAGCATAAATGCTTGTAGCTGTTATCTCAGGCGATGCCTATCAAAAGCTATATTCCGGCCTTCTAAATCAATTGTACTTTTTGAGGATGGCAGATAATAAAACAGCTTGTTGTGATCTTCGTTAAGTCCATAACTGTATCTTATTTCATAACGTTATATTTAAATGGGTAGGCTTCATTATAACTGCTTGTAGTCTTGTCTCAGACGTACGTATCAATACGAGTTCAAACGTCTTCAGTAATTTTTTGACTTTAAAGCGTGAATACGACGTTTTCACTGGTAATAAAATTTCAGGATTCTGCAAATATGGGAGTATACTATTCTAACTATCTACTAATACAATTATAATATTCCTCCACGGAAGTGATTTTTGCTTCTCACAATGTTATTGATTTGTGACAAGCGGAACACCTTGTGTCTACTCTTGTGGTAGTTGCCAAACTAAGGTCCAGTCTTATTTAGTGTGAATTCGCTGGGGTTGTGGTTAGTTAGTCCCTGCCAAGGGCTCTAACCGTTGATCACTGGGAAAACCGGTAACTATTAAGATCCTCCTAGTGGACGTATTAAGGCCGTTGGACTAGTTATTCAATCTACATTTGGTTCAGCTACTTACCAGGTTTATTTGTCCGTTTCCATATTGCATTTTTATGTATCTTGTTACATCAAGTTATATGTCTACAGGTGGAGATAGAAAGGAGCATCCGAAACGATCCTGCCAAATGATCCTAAAGCTGCCGATCAGCATCCCTCATTTAAAAATGAGTTCCAGCGATTTAAGCGTAATATAAGAAGTGGGAAGTTGAAGACCCTCAGACAAAGGCATTTTGCTTCGTACACATTGATTTTCGAGTGAGAAAGTTAAAACAGCGTGTATGTTATCTCGGTGATTGCCTTCAGTGTCATTTCAAAATCCACCTAGATTCTAGTCTCCAGGTTTTCTGGAGAGTCCTACGGTTAGACTTCTTGCAAAACCAGCGGATAAATTGACGAAATAATAACGAATAAACCTGTTGGATGAATTAGACCTCTAAATTAAAGTTCAGCCTCTTCAGTACTAGCTAGTTACCACCCTTAACTTCACTTCTGAAAGCTTTTGGGTTTTCGAAATACAGAAGTTAGCTTCAGTCGATTTCCGCATAGTTTGTGCTGGTCAAGGTTTTTCCAATGAGGAATCCACCCTTTATGTTTACCTTAGCAGCTCACTTCGTTCAGTCAGTCTCTTATTAGTCAGGTTAACTCAAGTTTGAGCTGGCGTATGTGAATCAGATATAATCCCTTCTGGCTGGTCCCAAACACATCATCCTATTCTCCAAGAAGGGATAAAAACCCTATTGTGAAAACCTCAGGCAATTCTAGGTTGTGCCATTATTAGAAGCCTAGGGTGAAGTTCGGGAATGGAGAACCTGAGGGAACTAAGCAGATGTTAGATCTGATCGTTGGTGTGTCGGTGAGGTATTCATCCTCTGAGTACTGGAACACTTATCTGCACCATACACTAGCCATATGTCTTTATAATAAGGTGTCATTCGACTTTGACCGAGGGTTAAAGCAGTGTCGATGAAAAGTGTACCAACCAAGTATATCACCCTGTTGAAGGTGTTGAGTCTAAACACTCGTGGGCGCTGGACTTAAACAAGGCATCAGGTTAGTTGTGTACCTCGAGAGGTGCCTGTAGGGGACGTCCAGTCATTCTCATTTTTGTTATACACATACACATTGAGGTCTGCATGTTCTCTACCCACAGTCTGACTGTCACAGGAGGTTCTATAGAAGACTTTGGTACTCAGGTGGTTTACTGCTGTTAGGTGAAGGTATTGAAAGGAGACAATCCCCCGGGAACCTTCAGTGACGATATGAGAATGTTTGAGGTGCGCTCCTCACCTATGGCACAATGTCGTGTGACGCTTAACATGAGCTTATAAACCCGACCTATAGCTCCTACCCTAATATGATGTTCGGGCTTGCATATCACAATAACCCAACAAAGTATACTGACTGGAACGCTTTTCCGCTTTTCCTACAATTCCAGAAAGGTTTGTTCGATAGTGATAAGGTGAAAAGCGGTTACAGTCAGTTTGAATTCCTATTTTATAATGGAGGTCTGAGGGTGGGGTCGTACTACTAGTTGATCTAGGCGTGATCTCCGCAAGGTGTTTCCTATGAATAGCCGGCGGTTCCACGTTGATACTACTTTCCTTGCGGAAGAAAAGGAAAGGGCAAAAGGGTTTGCCCTAAAAGTAGCATACTCCTTGCCCCACAGTCTTTGGGTGCCTGTGATATTGGTGATTCTTATCTAGGGTTAGGACGGAATCTCATACCTGCACTCCCCAGAATGCTATGTGATAGGCCTTAAACAACTATTCTAAAGGCGCTGGGGTTATCAGTCATTCCTTTTTCAGGTACGTTGAGAGGAAACAGCCTTCCACGGTGTGGGCATCTGGGAGGTATCGACCCCCTCACGCTTCCAGTAGCGTACAAGATGCATCCAAGTAACCTATACCTAACTGTTTCCTCTTTTTACACTAATATTAGGCCTCTTGCTTCCCCAGCCTCTCTCCGTGAGTATTGCCAACTATCCGAAGCAGGGGAACATCATTCCTAGTTTCCTAAGACCCTGCTGTAGGTTTCATATTGGGTCCTTCAACGTCCAAACTCTATGCCAAATCGGGTGTTAGCCATCGTTTGTCAAAACGTTGTGATCTCTAGCCATGCTGTTTCCGAAACACGTATACAGGACCTGAATAAGGTTATTAAATTGACCTCACTTGACCAATGTAGTGAATTCAAAATTCACTTCACGAACACTGATAACTCAGTGGCTAGCTCTCATGGACTTACTGGTGTAAGCATATCAGTGAGTTGTAGAGTTGAGAGCGCACCTCTCGACTGGATACCAGTCGACAGCCATTTTTGTGATGTTCGATTGACTGGATCTGTAAGCCCTAGGAAGAATGGTGAGATTATCCAATGTCTATTCCCGAACTCCTGCGCCCTCATGGAATACAATTCAGATAATGCAAAACATGAATCTTATGAAAAGCTGTCAATTTTGAAACAGCAAACTGTTCAGATGTAGTCCCAACGCCAGATGAATTTAACGCTCAATTAAGAAAGCCAATCGAAAAAAACGTCTTCAGAGTATTCACAGAGTCTCATGTCAATAAAACCGACAACGGTGATCGTCTATTAAAATGTTGTTCTGACAATCACTTGTTTATTGTCAACACTAACTTCCAGCATAAGATGTGACACTGTCTCACATGATATCCGCTGACATCCGACCAACGACGGGTGCAGATAGACCATATTACTATAAGCTATTGTTGGAGGGGATCGGTGGAGGATTATTGCCCCTTCTGCAGCACCTGTTTGGACTCCAATCAAGCGTTAATACGCCCACCTGTATGTCTGTGTCCTACTGGTGGAAGCAACAGGTGGCAGTGATGCCTGTTTGTGCTTGATTAAAAGATGCGAATGTGAGGTATATAATAAGAGAGGAGATAAATAGCCATCTATTTGAACTGAAGGTGACAGCGATCCTCATCCTGAAGAAACCTGGCATGACATTCAGTGTGCTGTTGAAGCAACGATAGACAGTTGGTAACCTGCATCCAGAGATTAGTAAACATCAATTCATTTCTGCAATGTCATCCAAAATGATTGATGCGAGAAAACTTCCCAGTTGACTGTGACCACAATGAGAAGTTAAAGAGGCTGAAACTTGACTAAGTTGACTAAGAGTGTTTGTACTGATTACGAGCAATAATAGGTCGCAAGAGTGAGAGAGATGGAGAAAACATCATGACTAGGTGAAACCCGAAAACGTTTTGGGCTCATCAAGGATATCTACAAAGATAAGGCTATGGTGAGCGAAAGCATCACTGAAAAGAATGGAATGATGATAGCCTTGTAGGAAAGATGGCTGGAGAGCTTGGTAGAACACTTAGAAGCGCAGCTCAACTGGTCCACAGGAACGTCTCAGTTGCCCAGCATCTGGACCACACTTGAATACGACAAAGATGTTGGTCCTTCAACTATCATGAAAGTTGAGAGGGCTTTTTTGAACCTGAAACGACTCGAGACAGCAGGATCTGATGGTTAGTCACTGGAAGCTTTCAAGAGTGGAGATAAGAAACTACTGGTTATGGTAACGGAGTTACTAGGTAGTGTATGAAAATAAGAGGTAGTCCCGCTACAATGACCTACTTCATTGAGCATTCTAGCCTATGAAAAGCGAGTGTAGTCTTCTTGTGACAACCATAAGGGAATCAATTTGATCAATATTGTGTCCAAGTTCCATGGTTGTCCGACACATGACTGGAGCTCGAGAATAACAAACTGGAGAAAACCAGACAGGTTTCAGATGTGGATGAGAGTGTATCGATCAAAATTTCATTCTTCGACAGGTCCTGGAACACGCATTCGTGTAGGAAACTTGCAACATATTTCCCGATCTGAAGGTGACATTGATCCTGTCGACCATGAGGTGTTGTGTCGATGTCTGACTGGGAAAGGTGTACCGATCAAGTATTTAACGCTAATCATTGTTCTCTAGTCTAACATATGCAGCTATGGAATAGCCTATAGAGAGTTGTCATCAGAATTGATGACAACCAGTGGTAGCCACCAGAAATTCCTGTTGTCACTCTCCCTCTTTAATTTCATTAAATATATATTGATGGACATAACCTTGAGCAACTCTGACTTCACACGTATTTATCGATGCAGTGTATCCTAAACACTTTAGCATGCGTTTTACATCTGTCAAGTGTAAGATGACGTTTCAAGACTAGTCTTCAGCTACTCTCAGTGTAAGGATCGAGAGTGGAGTAGTGGAATACACCGACCACTTGACTTCCTTGAGGAGCTGCATCAACCCGAAGGGGTTAGTTACCCGCGAAATCTCGGCTGGGATACAGAAGGCTCGTTTGACACTTGTCGACTTGGATCATTTTTGACGCCGTGTGACCAGATGTGTGACTCCTTGTTCTTGGACGAGTGTGCTGTGGTGTAGTTCGTTTTGTCCTGTCATACGGTTTTAAGACATGACCGTTGGAAGTAGAAGGTATGAAGACATGATAGGCTTTTCCACGCAGGTGTGTTTTTAACATTGCTCAAGTATGATGGAATCACTAATTAGGTAATGTTGAGGTTACGTGAAGAGTAGTACTAGGCAATGAAGTCAAATCAGTCGATGAGGTTGTGAATATTCAGCGATAGAGGTGTCGTGTACATGTATTGCGCATGTGGAGCCACCGTCTACGTTGATGTGGGATGCTAACAGAAATCGGCTTGGTTTGGATGAAGACTCAGTTTAGTTAGACCAATATTCGCCCCCAGTCGATAAAGTCTCTTACTGTTGATCTGAGCCATGTGCTGAGTTGTGTTTTGTTGGTTGGGGTCTTTGAAGTGATAAGAATGAATAGTTGGAGACTGTCGTTAACATGGTTGAAAATCGGTCACAATGGAGTGGATTTATTCACTCTTTGACTTTCAGAGCTTGAATGCTGTGAAAAACTTTCATTTTCGAATTCCTGTCATAGACTTTAATCTACTCTGATATCACTTTCTCTACACGTTTGTTCTTTGCATGCTGCTGTGACGTGTGGCAACTTAAAGTAATGCACCTTTTTAAGAGGTTCTACGTTGACTTTGTGTCTGCTTGTTACCAGCCGACGGCAAATTGAATGAAGATTGGTCTGTGTTGATGCTTCATCTGACAATAAGACGTAAAGTTGTCGATCTGACAAACCTCATGGCTTAAGTGAGAGGTCATATCAGCTGTCGTTGGTTAGCGACTGCCGAGATTGCTGTGCAGATACAATATGATTGTTTGTCGTATGCTGTCACACGCTATCTTTTTCGCTACTGTGATACCTAGCAAGCCTTTGTTAGCTGCTACCTTAACGCTGTGATCGAACTTGCATATCACAATTACCTGACGAGCTACGCTAGGTAAGACGTTTGTTCTTTAAGGTTCAACCATAGCAGAACAGTTTTTGGAAAATGGCAAGGCGAGAATGGATACGGTCATGATGTTGATGGCTACGTTATGATGGTGGTCAAATGACTCTGTCCTGCTGGTTGAAGAGGGCGTTACGGCTGCTAGGTTCCTGATGGATTACCACTATAGTTGGGAAGTTGCATCAACCCAAATAAGCTGGCTGCTAGCCAAACTCTAGCTTTAATATCAATCTTTTGGTTTGGCTTTCGCGTACGTCCGCCATTTGTTGTGTCATCGTGATATTCGATTGTCTATTAAGCACCCAGTATGCTGCACTGTGGTTCGCTGTTTTCTGATATATGACTAAAACATGACTATTAAATAGTAGGGCACATGAAAAAGCTTCAAGTGTTCTACCACTACTGTCTTCATAGAGTGGGTGGTGATGTGATCCCTCCACGTCAGTAATTTAGATGTCAGTCGAAGTCTTTGGTAGAGGAAATAAGTCAGTTGATGAAGTTTTGAACTTTCATCGACTCAAGTGGTGCGTGAAACACGTTACGTATCCCTAGTCACCGTTGCTCCGGGATACAACGTTAGCTGAAGTAGTTTCAAGCTGGAAAATTATTAAAGGCGACCAGATTAACACATGGCATCAGTCCATGAAGTCTTTGTTGGTCTGAGTCTTGTAGGGGAATGTAACCCTCCAGATTGCGGTTAATGTGACGACAGAAACCGGTGGTTGCAGACCCTAGATGATATGGCTAAGAATCGATCTTATTAGCGCTTATGTAACCGTATATTATATTAATCTTAATAATCATACTGAATCCTAGTATTTTTCCATTCCCCCATGCTCTTTTGATGGCTTTCTACCACTTTTGACTGATTTCATTTCTTTGCCTTTCATCTTGGTGCATTTTTGCTTGGTGTGCTGAAATGAGATGCGACAACTGAAACCACTAGGTAATGTCTGGCCCCTGTGTTGGGATTGAGTAAAACTTCGGCACTGTGGTAGAGTATAATCCCACATTAGATTGTTTATTCAATATCGTGACACAGTGACACAGTATAGTTAACTGGAGGACATTTCGAGCGGAATTTAATGCACATATTCCTACCAGTCATCATACGGCTTTGAAGCTTCCTTAATATAGTCCAACCGTTTTTCATTCTTTTATTTGAATGTTAGTGCAATTTTGTAGATGTCTACAATATGTGGTTGAGTCATTCCTATTACATGTGTTAAGTGTTGATTCAAGGAACAAAGATTCTTGTGATCAGTCTATACCTTCTCGTTGCTATATTGAATTTTGGAATTGTCACCCTATCCCACCCCATGTCTGATAGGTAAATGTATCATGGAGCTATACAAGATTGGTAAAAATCGACATATAGGCAGAACATTTGTCATCACTTCAGAGGAGTCAAGTTATTCTCTTGTTCAGGCAGCTGGTAAACAGTTTTCGATCCTAATTTTAGTACCGAATCATAGATCATAGGTTTCTAGGAATTACAAATTAAGTATTTTTATGATTGTTAGTTTATGGTCTCTTATCTTTAATTACTGGAATAAGTTATACAATTTAGACAGGAGCTTTCAACCGACTATACAGGCAAATTATCTGTGTGATAGTCTTTAATAGCATCAAAAGTGAATATGTACATGAGATCCTGTTGTAACGTAAACTTTTTCAGAATCGCTGATAGGATCTGATCCAACAAACTGAATGATCAGCCGGGAACAATAATTAATTTAGTCTCGTCTTGATGTTATTTGCTTGGTTACGGCTTGCAGTAGAATGCAGAATGCGTTTCGTCCTGTTTGGGACTTAGTTAGATGTACCTTCATCCCAGTGAGTGATCCTGTTCCCACTGAGACTTCAACCCTGTGCCTATCACTTCAAATGCCAGAGCGCTACCTACTAGCCTACTGAGTTACAAGAACCACTTTTTGTGCAATGATTATCAATTATTATTTACTAATGCTTGTAGTTTCCCGTTGATTATCATACTGAACATAACTCTTCGGTCACTGTTGGCATATAGATTCCTTTAGCATCTTGTTTATAAACAAGAACATTGTTGCAAATAGGATTGCTATTTACGCAAAAGATTGAAATGTTGTAGACCAGATTCTATGTCAAGTATTAGGCACTCACTGTGTTATTTGCACCTGTTCTTATTTTATTCTGTTGAGGAGTTAAGAAAGATGCTCAAACGTGATTCTCGTCAGACTTTTTGAGGCATAAATCTAATAACACGTAAATAGTTTCTTTATGAATTGTTTGCATAATGTCTGTACAGTAATAATAGGTCTGCTGAATAGTTAAGTTTGTTTACTGTAACATGCTGAGTATTGCTTCAAATCTTGTTTATTTAACCGTTCAGGTTAAAGTCAACTATCGCGATATGTCATTTAAAGGCCATAATGGAACTAGATGTAGTTTCATATTAACACCTAAGGAGATAGTGTGCCCAGTTAGTGTGTCGATTTTAATACTTCGATATCTATCATGCATTTTTCTCGTACTTAGTCTTTTTCTTTTTATAGGTTGTTTAAAAATGACGGATGACAACAAACCACTTGTGGAACTCTTTCTTAGAGCCGCCCCATCAGATCGTAAGGAAAAAGGAGCTTGCTTAATTAGTCAACAGTGGTTTATGACTTTGTATTGTCTTGTTGAGAAAGGTCTTATAAACTTGCGAGTAACACCAATGACCATGGACATGCCACCAACAAATTATGTAAACTTGAATGCCGCTCGACATCTCCCTATTGCATGGATTGAATCAGGAATTCTGGATGGTGAAGATGCCAGTGGGCTTGTGATTTCTTCAACAGAATCATTGGAAACACTGCTGATTAAGTTGAATTGTGCTAATCTTAATCCTTGCTTAGTCGCCTCGGATGTCAGAGCAGCTGAGAAAGTTTTTGAAGATTTGTACACAAGTTTGATGCAATATGTGAAGAATGACAATAAGAAACCACTTTGTTCAGTTCTATCCGGTTTAGATGATTATTTGGCATCTGCTGCAAAGCCATATGCTATGGGTGATGAGATATCCTATGTTGACTGTCAGTTGGCACCCAAATTGCAACATGTCCGTGTTGCAGGTCAAGCCTATAAAAATTTCGATATACCTCATGATTTAAAACATGTATGGGCTTACATTCAGCATATGTATAAGCTTAAGGCATTCATTTGTTCTTGTCCAGCAACTCGGGATATATTGATGCATTATGATGAGAAAAACCCCCTTCCAAAAGAAATTCGTCCTAGTCTTATGGGACCGGACATCTTGTTAGATGTTCCACAAGATTTGCTGTTATCAGCAGTAAATGGGGATCACCACTGAACTTTTTTAAGACCTCAAGTTTTATTTACAATTGAGAGAGTCTTTGTGAAAAAGTAATACTTTCATGTCTTGTATTTCTTTTAAATATTTTAGTATACATTTTTTGCACCAGTTGCTGTTAATTGGAGGTGCGTCATTTGTTTTCCTTCATTAATATTTATTTGGCTGATTAACAATTTCCATACTATTATCACGTTTCCAAGTTATGCAGTTCTTGTACACCTGCTTTGATATTCTCAGATATATTAACATTAGCAAATTATTGCTTATTAGAATTTAAAGACCGATGCATTGCGTTTTGTATTTACGTTTCTTGCGGTTTCCTTTGAACATTGAAGGGACAGATAGAATGGATGAGTTACATTATGAACCATGCAACTGGATTCAATTCTATGCAGTAGCGCTAGTCAAGGAATCATCCCTCATGCAAGCAGGCCTAGCAGTTGAGTATACGCTTCAACTGTTTCTGTTTCTTAGTTCATTTTTGTTAATGTGTTACAATGAGGAGTAAAACATTGTTGTTGCTTATCAGTTTTCATTTTAAGAGTAAAGGTTGTACTCTTTAGGGTGTCAGTTTTATTCATTATATCATATTTACTCTGATAGTATCATTGGCTCGTTAAACCAGTGACATTATCAAGAGGTTGACAGGCATTATAATTGCACCAACGCTGACGTCTTGGTTGCTTACCAAATCTCAGGGTGGTTGTGTGTGTGGCACTCCCCATTTCTGCCATTTTTGACTCCGACTAGGTGTCTAACGTCAGAGATAAGAATAGCTTATGGCGCAGCAGTTCGCTCTGTTCTTTAAAGTTAAGGCAACATCGGAAGGTGGAAGATATGAGTAGACTTTGGTTTCCTGATTACAGGATATCTTCGTAATATTGCTCTTTAGATTTGAAATTATCGAAAGCAATGTTAAAGCTAGGGATGTAAGTGCTGTGTAAGCTAGGCAAGTTAGTTGATGAAGCTTCTGACTTATATCCAGTGTGGTTGCTTTAACCTGTGTTGAGTTTTTTAAACCCTGTGTTTATTTATCTGTCTAATAATCATATAGACCCGATAATTCGTACAGCGTAACAGCGTACAGCGTAACTTTACATTTAAACCCTGAAAAGTTTCCTAATCTTTTGGACTACAAACTGGTACCGGCCTAATATGGATCTGGTATTTTGAGCTGCAGTTGTGGCTTTAAGAAAGGTTTAAATTCGCATCACACAAATTGATCAAGTAGTTAACTCAGTATTCATACTGGATAGTGCTTAGGGTTCAACACGAATAATCATACGATGATTTAGTCGCGTACTCTTCTGTACTCTTCAGTTTTGGACTTGATAAAATGGTATTTTCTGGAGGGTGATAGTTTTCTTCCGGGTAGCGATTTCCAGACATTCTAATAAAGCCGTATTTCGCGAAGGTGTTTCAAATTTTTTTATTACACTAGATTCTAAGAAGTAGCAAAGTATTGTGGACATGGATGTCATAACTCTCCAGACATTTTGGATTGATGACTGTAGTTGGGCAATCAGCTTTGAAGTATACAAGAATTGAATACGATTCATTATAACTTCTTATTGTAGCTGTCATAATTCACGAGAAGTAAACATACCTAGTATAAGGAGTTGAGATTTAACTGGTGAGAAAGTCGTTCTGCTACTTCGCAGTTAAACCAATAGGCCTATATTCGACAGGCTGAGGAATAGCAGTGCGTCATTATCATTATAGAGGCCTGTCATTACAGTGTTAATATCTATGGTACCGTCTTTTATACTAAAATACAAGATTACTAAGAAAATGTGAAACGCTATTGAGTCAATCTAAACAATTAAACAATATATTTATCAACTGGTCATTTGTTGATACAAAAGTCTCTTGCGTAATGGAGAATAAACCAGTCACCTTACTTACAAAGGTGACAGTTAAGGTTTTTGTTACTTTGTGGTGAAAAGTGATCCATTTTTAGTATTATTCCGTCACATACTGTATGTTTAATCTTGCAAGGGTGTATCCATTTAAGGTTTGAGTCTTTTTGACAATGTTACCTTGTGTCAATGCATCCGAACAATATCTGGGCTACAAATATTACTTGTAGCTCAGATATTGAGTTATTTACAATTAGTACGGTGGTTGGTTTGGATACTTATCAAAAACAGCTAATCGTAAGTGGAGAAAGGTGGCAGATATGACCATGCGACTGGAAACTATCCTATCAGTTTATTTGTGAAGATTAAGTTGCATGTATTCCTTTTGCTCAAGCTGCCAGTAACGTTTTGATAATCAGTCTGTGATTTGAGTTCCTCTGTAATCTAAGTGAAAAACGGTAAAACTAAATGAGCTGTTTTTAATTGAGTTTCTGAGATGTGTAGACCAAATTTCCACTGTATGTCAATTAACGCTTGCTACTTGATGGATTAATGTCTAACTGTCCTCTTCTCATCGATTTGCTAAGCTTGAGTAATAGTAGCATGTTGGGACTGAACTATGTTTCTACTTTAAAAGCTGTTGTGTGCAATTATTGCTTTGATGTGACTTTCGGGATTTATATGTCTTTTGTCTACTCAGCCACGCTGAGTAATCCTATTATAAGTTGTTGGAATCAGTGTGAACTTGGTATTTGAATTAGAGTTCTGCTCAGTGTTGAAGTCGATATATCTGACATCTTCCGTGGTATTTCGTCAATCGATTTCTCCGAGGGTAAGCTTTCAAACTAATGACCATATGGATAAAATATATTCGGGATGAATCCTTTCTGTCCTTCTGAAATTTCATACAGCCGATAAACTGTCCACCTGATATCTTGGTGTTTCAGCATTACCTCGTGTCTCACTTTAGCGTTATTTGCTCGGTGACGGCTAGCCGTAAAATCCAGGACATGCATCTCGCCTTATTCGAGACTCTTCAACAAAATGTATGTACATCTCAGCAAGGGATGATTTTTCCATCGGACCCAGCACTCATCACTTCAAACGTCAAGACATACCTATCATCTTGGTCCAGTATAATAATCAACGGTGAAATAGAATCACCAATAAGTAACAAATGATATCCGTTACACAGGGATGGTAAGTTCGCCTTAGTAGCCTAGTGAGTTGCGTTGTGACATTTGAAGCAGTGGGCACAAGATTCAACTCCCGATGGGAATAGCGTCACTCACTGGGATTGTGGGTACATCCAGCTAACGAGTCCCAACTGGGGTGAAACATGCGTCCTGGATTCAACTGTTAGCCATCACCGAGCAAATAATATCTTTCTCTGTATGTACTCAATTCACTGTCCTACTGTTTTTCCTAAATTTTTACTTTTTATCGTTTCAAACAGATTTAAACAGCGGAATACACCCATTCGATCATTCATTTGATCGTTCTTACTCTTTTCGAGTTTTTTTAAGAGGGATCACTTCTGGTCAGATTATAAATAGCTTATTGATGTTGAACTTCATTTGATTTTTCAGCGTTTTACGATAAACTGCATAGTCGATTAAGGCAAATGAGAAGTTCCAATTAGATGAAATATTGGGAAATACTAAATTTACGTTTATTGATAACATTGTAGAAACAGAATTTAATTAGCTGGACATATTATGGAACTCTTACACTCTTATTGATTTTTAATTGATATTTATAAGAATAATCGATACCAAGAAAATTTCTTCTACCTCATAGCTGTTTATTTTATTGGTCATAGTTATGAGTTGTGATTCTGGTCATTTACTTAGTGTTATTGTCATCGCATTATGAGTAATATTATTTATCTCTGTGTCTTTTGTATTATCATGAATATTTGTCAATAATATAAAGAGTCTGTGTGCATCATATCATGTGACTGACGTCATGCTGCATATATATATATATATATATATATATATATATATATATACTGATTTGCATACTGACCGAGCGTTTATATTCGTACTTGTATACAAACTATTGCGTAAGACTTATTGTTGTTGTGGTGGTGATGATGATGATAAATCTTCGCTGTACACTTATGCCACAATCGAATGCTGTTTTACGAGATTTGGACCGATTATTGTTCTTTTTCAACACAACTGACACAAATTTGGTGAATCAATTATCTTAACACATTCAGAAGAAAAAATAGGACATTGATTTATTCGTTTTTATGTAAAAGTGTCTTTTGAGGTTGATGAGGGTTTTGGAAAAAGTTCCCATTACTGCACAGTGTTCATTAGTAACATGCTTCAATATGGATATCCCGAAGTTCTAATGAGAAGCCATGAACTGTGGGGTCAACCAGTCGGAAATGGATGCCAACTAAAAACCTTGAATGATAGTCACGCTACATTGTGAATTCACAGAAGTGCGAAACTGTGGACCATTGAATTCCGACCCGGTAACTGAGTGGTTGACGCGTTCAGTGTGAAACCTGAATGTCCCTGGGGTAGTTGTGGGCGTGTACTGCTGAGGAGTCCTATACTGGGACGAAACAGCTATCCAGTCCTTCGAAGTTTTCAGTGGTTCGGCTGATGTCAGTCCATGATGAATACCACCTTGAAAAAGTGTGTTATAGTCATTCCTACTTATTTTTGATGCATAATCTGAACTTTTCGTGATACAAATATGCATATTCTGAGTAAACGAATTTCTGACATTGACTTCAGTTTTATTTAATAGTACACTTTATCACTAAATGCATAGATTATTAGCGATGAATAAGTATTGTTGCTTTCTGAGTAAATTATTCGTGATGTGATACCTCTAGGCATTTAATAATTTATTATTATTGTTATTATTTGTCACTTGGGTTCCTAATGGAACATAGGGCTTCAGTAGCACGTCTCCATTCCACTCTGTTCTCTGAGATCTTTCGAACCTGCCTCCACGACAGCCCAGAAGCTCGCATTTCCTCCTCGCACGATCTCCTCCATGTCACCCTCGGACGCCCAACTCGTCACTTCCTATCGGGGTTCCACTCGAGCAACTGGCCTGACGCATGATGTCCGCAGTCAGCCTTCTCAGTGTATGCCCCATCCGATCCATCTCCACTTCCTTCTGCATGTTTGTGGCGTGATAGCTTCTTGGTTGGTTCATTGCCGGCCACCTAGAGTTCCTTGTTGCTTATTCTTATTATTCTGGCCAATTGAGCCTCAGTAACGAGCCTGTGTAGGCAGTTGTTGATGAATGTGTGTAGTTTGTTGGAAATGCCTTTCGTAACGCGCCAAGTCTCTGAGCCATACAGAAGCACTGACTTGACTGAATTAGTGTTGAAAATCCGCATCTTGTTCCACATTCTGAGTGCAGAAGATCTCCACACTGGTTTCAGGTTGATGAACGCCTGTCTTGCTGTCTTTTCGACCCTGGCGGGCTTTGACGTCCTCGTCTGTGCCGCCTGTAGTTGCAACAGTGCTGCCTACTTAGGTGATGGAGGCTACTTCCTTTAAGTTTCTCCTGTTGATGGTGGTTGGAGCTTGTTGTTGCTGTTGTTGTTGGTTGAGTTTCTTCATCACCTCCGTCTTCTCTATATTAACTTGAAGTCCCGTCTTCCTTGGCTGCCTCTTCTGACAACTTGTTAGTTTTCACCTGTAGATCTTCAAGTTTGTGTGACATTAGGCACAAGTCA